CGTAATAAGGTTTTATCTAGTCTTCCAAGTAGTAAATGTTTCTGGTCTACCATAAGAGGATTATCTCAGAGTGCGGCAACTCGTGTACCTAACATAGCACTAGAACAATGGGTCGATCATTTTAAAGATGTGTTTGACAATCCGAGAGCTGAAGATATGGTTAACACCGACACGACTATTAATGATAGTCATGATGATATGAGTTGCTATATTCTGGACTCCCCCATTTCACAAGAGGAGGTGCTTTGTGCTATCAACTCTTTGAAATTTGATAAATCCGAAGGAAATGACCCCCTCATTTCAGAATCTTTTAAATATGCGAATGATATTTTTGTCCCGTATCTTACAGTGCTGTTTAATAAGTTGTTTGATAATGCATACTTTCCTGAATCTTGGTCTTTGGGAATTATTGTTCCGATACATAAGCGAGGAGACATCCATTCCCCATCCAACTATAGGGGTATATCAGTCCTTAGTGCACTGAGTAAGTTGTATGTTTCTATTTTGAACAGAAGGGTCACGTCTTGGTGTGAGGTCTATGGTAAAATTGCAGAGTCCCAGGTTGGTTTTCGTCATGATTACTCCACCATAGATAATATCTTTATACTACAGTGTATTATCCAGAGATATATAAGTAAGCGTAAGGGTAGGGTATATGGTTTGTTTGTCGATTTTGCAAAAGCCTTCGACAGTGTAAACCGGATGAAATTATGGTCAGTACTAGCTAATAAAGGTGTCGCTGGCAAAATGATAAAAGCTATACGGTCTATTTATACAGCTGTTAAGGCCAGTGTTAAATTTAAACATACATTTTCTGAAATGTTTCAGTGTCCAAGAGGAGTACGTCAGGGTTGTGTGTTAAGCCCCCTTTTATTCTCGATGTTTATTAACGAACTAGCTGCTGAAGTTGAACAGAATTCTGGACCAGGAATACAACTTCATCCTGATATTACAGAGATATTCCTGTTATTATTTGCAGACGATATTATTTTAATCGCAGATACTATAGGTGGACTTCAGAAGCGTATTGATGTTCTAGAAAAATATTGTAATGATTATGATCTAGATGTCAATTTGGATAAAACCAAGGTGGTTGTTTTTAAGAAAGGCGGAGTGTTGTCAAGAAAAGAGATTTGGTACTATAAAGGTCTAAAGTTGGAGTGTGTGTCCTCCTATAAATATTTGGGCGTTACTTTTACGAGAAGCCTGTCCTGGTCAAGTCATTTTTCTAATGCTGGTCTACATGGGAAAAATGCAATGTTTGGAATTTTAAAGTCATTGATAAAAATACATCCTCTTCGATATGACTTATATTTTAAAATATTTGATATGAAAATAGTCCCAATTTTGCTCTAAGGTTCCGAAGTCTGGGGTCTACACCAGAATGATGAAATGGAAACTATACATACATTGGCATGCAAGCGCTTTCTAGGTGTCAAATCGTCAACACCCAACAACATGGTTCGAGGTGAATGTGGGCGGTATCCATTATATATTTATGCATACAAAAGAGTTATTGGTTATTGGATAAGGTTATTAAATATGTCCGATTGTCGCTTTCCAAAGAAATGTTATTATATGATGCTTCAGGCAGAAAGTAATGGTAAACTATACATACATTGGCATGCAAGCGCTTTCTAGGTGTCAAATCGTCAACACCCAACAACATGGTTCGAGGTGAATGTGGGCGGTATCCATTATATATTTATGCATACAAAAGAGTTATTGGTTATTGGATAAGGTTATTAAATATGTCCGATTGTCGCTTTCCAAAGAAATGTTATTATATGATGCTTCAGGCAGAAAGTAATGGTAAAATTAATTGGGTATCAAAATGTAAATTTTTATTGTTCCGTTTGGGTTTTGGCTCTGTATGGGAAAACCAGTGTATAAGTCATCCTCATTCGTTTTTGACAGAATTTATGTCGCGTCTGAAATGTAGTTATGAACAGGATTGGCATAGTCTTCTGGTAAAGGGTAGTAAATCTTTCTCGTATTCTCTATTCAAGGTATCGTTTGGTACAGAGTTGTATCTTAGCTGTATGACCGTCAGTAAATTGAGAGTGGCGCTAGCTCGGTTTAGATGTTTTTTCGCATCAGCTGTGTGTTGAAACTGGGAGATATGCTGATATCCCACGTCACAGAAGACTATGTTGTGTTTGTAATGCTGGGTATGTGGAGGACGAGTTTCATTTTTTGTTTGTTTGCTCCGGTTATAACAAGATACGCATGGATCACTTACCACAGACATTTTATGAATATCCGACCATACAAAAATTTAATATCATTATGTCTACAACTGATTGTAAATTAATTGAACGTCTAGCTATCTATATCTATCAAGCGATGTCACTTCGTAGTACATTATTGTCACAACAATAACAGCTGTGTACATCACGTCCATTGTAATACAAATGTAACTATGGGCCGATGGCCTACACTTACGAGGGGAGGGGAGGTGAAATGGGGTTTAACGTCGCGTCCAAGATTATTGCACTTATATAGCGACGTGCATGCACGTGTATGTGTGTGTGTGGCTGCTTGTACTAGTCCGGACTGATGCCGATTTATAGTGCTAGCTCACTGAGATACCATGCTGCAGTTTAACATGAATACCCCACTCAGACACAGTATACTGACTCCGAGCCGACCAGTCCTTGTTTTAGCCCCTTAATGCCGAGCGCCAGACAGGGTAACAACAAGTACAATCTTTTAACGTCTTTTTGTATGACGCGGCCCGGGATCGAACCCTGGACCTTCCGCTCTCCGGGCGGACGCTCTACCACAAGACCACGGAGGCGGTCTCCTACACTTACGAAATAAACCGAATTGAATATATATTTATATATTACTCTAAATGTAAAGTAATGAAAGACCGGTTTTATATGCACATGGTATCTTAAATATGTGTATCTACACCCTGCACATATGTCCAGAAGACAGAATTCATAAAATATATATTCCATCCAATCCGAGTGCTATTAACACTATCTACGTCGAAGACACAAATGGACACAATGTGTGAACCACTTCATTGTGTCCCCGTCGACATATTGCTGGAATAGTGCTAAAAGCGATGTAAAACCTAACTTACTCACTATTTACTCATGTACAGAGATTGTTCCGAGATGCTTGGGTCTTTTGTTCTTATTGACCAGGAAAGGCGGTTTAAACAACTGCTCCATGCATTATCTGCGGCATCTCCAGACATGTTGACATCGCCTGGGTGTTGGGTCACACAGTGAGATGAGGGACAACTATCATAGACTGTCCCTCATTCGAAACGTACAACTGAATAAGCATCTGTTGATGACAATGGTTCTTCCCGAATAGTACAGAATAGTATAGAATCTTCTCGATGTCAGCGTGTTCGAGGGAGTTTGTTTAGTCTACTGTGCAAGCATTGTCGGTGGTTCTAAAACCTATTTCTTGTATGGGCTGAGCATTTATGGTGACGGATGCCAGCAGTGTTGCAGGATATAAACGCTCACCATTTCGTGAAAACCTGGTCTCAACACTATTGGATAACGATTCGTGACCACATGATTAGAATTTGGTCGGAATCTTACAATGGACTCTGCTTTTAGTAGAGATTTCTTATGAACACGAAAACGTCGCTTTTGTTTAAATCCTTGGAAAAATATTTTCCTTCTCGTTTTACCAACAACTAAATCGTTCAATGGACATTCAGGATGATCTTAAAACTAACATGTAGTGAGTCCTACAACTGTGTCTGCCTCATCCTTTCAGAGAAAATGATTGTAGGTCTTGAAAGGACCGCCTCCGTGGTCTAGTGGTAGAGCGTCCGCCCGGGGATACCAAAAGACGTTAAAAGATGCTACTTGTTGTTACCCTGTCTGGCGCTCGGCATTAAGGGGCTAAAACAAGGACTGGTTGTCTCGGAGTCAGTACACTGTGTCTGAGTTGGGCATTCATGTTAAACTGCGGCATGGTATCTCAGTGAGCTAGCACTATAAATCGGCATAAGTCCGGACTAGTACAAGCAGCCACACAAACACACACACGTACATGCACGTCTCTATATAAGTGCAATAATCTTGGACGCGACGTTAAACCCTATTTCACCTCACCTCTTGAAAGGCTGACTAAAAAACAGTATTGTGTCTCAAATGGTTTGTTTGTTTGTTTGTTTTCTGTTTAACGCCGCACTAAGCAATATTTCAGCTATTTGACGGCGGTACTTGAATAAACCACATGAACTGTTTGAACCACGACCCGGTATCAGTAACGTGTCAGTTATTGTTTTGGGGAAGCTGTTGACACAGTTTATGTATAATCTATTGATCCTCCGTAAACCGACCCCTGCTGTATCTGCCGTCTGTTTACCAGTGCCAGCAGGAGGATGCGGCTGTATCTATAGATGGTCACAGTCCTCTGGTCGCTTTGTGAACCTGGTGTTGAATGTGTCCCCACCATCCCATTGCGTGTCTGTCGTAAGAAGCGACTCAATTTTAAACCCGTGGGGTTTCTTGTTAGAATTGGCCCCTAGCAACCTATAATGTTCGCTGGAGCGACTTAGTGGATCGGGTGGTCAGGCTCGGTGACTTGGTTCATTGCATGTCAACGTACACCGACGGTGTGTGTTGATGCTCAGTATTACCAATCGCTGGAGTCAGACTCGGTTACTTTCAGTGCCACGTCTGAGAAACGTATAACTGAAATCATATAGTGTCTACGACCGTGAAATAGACACTGATTGGCCTGGTTATCTTAATTTACAAACACCGATGGCCATAGCCCATGGCCGCAATATGAAACATATAGTTCTACGTATATTTGTCTTGATATTTTGGTCATACCGGAATGATCACTTTGTAAAACAGGGCCCAGTCAGACAAGTTCCAGAGGTTTTTCTATTTGGTCAGCTTTGACATTGATCATTTTCTATACAGCCCATGACAGCCACGCCCTCGTTTGGCCTGCACGCTACGTTGTATTGACGCAGCTGGTGGCAGAGGATGCAGGCCCTATATAAGTACACTCAGGTGCCTAGCGTTCACTGCTGTGTCAGCTGAAGACAGGTGCCTAGGACTCTCACGATGTTGGTCACCATCAGTCTGCTGCTGGCCTGTGTGCCCCTCATCTCCCCCTCCCCAGTCTCCACCCTCAAAGTAGGGGCGTTCAACATCCAGGTGTTCGGCAAGACGAAGGCAAGCAAACCTGACGTCATGGAAACTATCAGAAAGGTAATGATTTGTTAGTTAATTAACGCCGCACTGTCAATCACTGGATTGTCTGGTCCAGACTCGATTATTTGTAGACCACCGTCATAATGCTGCAATATTGCTGAGTGCGGCGTCAAACAACAAACAAACAAAAAGCATATTTTGAACGTATTTAAAATGTTGTAATTAAGTAACTTCGGTGAATCCGAGACATAGTTCATTGACCTTAAAGTTGTCGATGAAATCTCTATGAAGGCGAGTGCTTTTGAAAGAAACAAAACATACACTCTTCAAAAAGAGAAACGCAAAGGCAGTATGTAGTTCATTGAACCTGACTACACAAAAAATCATATATATAAATTGTTATTTGAAAATGTTGGTGGCCTGATATTCGACAAACGGTTCGTCAAAATACAGCCATTGTCGATATGCAATGTCTTAAATCAGACTGTACCAATTTCATGAGGCTGAAATCCGACCCAGAAGGCCAGTTTCCGTCCCTGTTTTGCAACAGATCCATCGACAGCGACGCTTGCGTTAACGTTGGTGCCATACCTTACAGCCATGGAAGTTGAGAAAATGAAGATGAGTGTGGTTTAGCGATAAATCACGATATCTTCTTCTCCGGCGAGATAGAAGACAACGCGTTTTGTCCACGCTCCACCGCACACAGCTCGTGCCACGATAGACCACCTGCATAATGCCAACATCAACGTCTTGCCCAGATCTCCAGATCTCAACCAAATCGAACACCTCTTTAATGAACTCGATCGACGTGTACATCAACGTCAGAACACGCCGCAGACACTCCCACAACTGGCCAACGCGTTACAAACCGAATGGCGCAGAATTCCGCAGGACAGAGGTCGTACACTTGTCCAGTCAGTGCCGAGGAGATGCAGAGCCATGAATGCTGCCCGGGGCGGTCAGACGAGATACTGAATTCAGCACAACCTTGTGGCCTTATGTGACATGACAATGAACAGTTTTCAATGCCTTTGTACAACGACAAAATGTAACTATCGAGCTCCAAAATTTCATATTTGTACCTATGGTATTGAATTAAATATTTCGACTTTATTAGGTACAATAAATTTACTAAAAAAATACCCGTGCCTTTCTTTCTTTGAAGAGTGTACATAAGGCCATGTTATATAGGCTGGTCCGGTTTACACAGTTGCTGGTTTGGAGAGGTATCGGTTGAAGCGTGTCTCATGTACACCTGTACATGGCTTTGTAATCTATGTAGATTTGGTTATACCTTTATGTTACAGATAATATCCTCTTATGACGTCATGCTCGTGCAGGAGATTCGTCAGAAGAGTGGAGACTGTATGGTCCAACTTCTCGACTTGCTCAACAAGTGAGTTCGTGCGTGCGTGCGTGCGTGCTTGCTTGCGTGCGTGCGTGCGTGCGTGCGTGCGTGTGTGCGTGTGTGTGTGTTTCGAGTTTATTGCGCTGTTGTCAAACATTTCTGGAAGTTCGCACCATCGACCTGTTTGTGAAACGTCTTATATAATTGGATTAAGGGGCATGTCATGCTTGTCTTATACACCAGTGAATGTGGAATAGCCTCGTGGTTAAGGTGTTTTGCCGTCACAACGAAGAATCGGGTTCAGTTCCCAAAAGCAATATATCAGGTAAAATTTACTAAGCGCAATTTCCGTATTTCTGCCCCAAGATCTGCTGGTTCTGACGACAGCCACTTACAAGTCCATGTTTGTGTTTCTCCTCTCCCACCAGGACTGAAATACCGCCCGGATCTGCTGGATCTGCCGAGGCTATAAGTCAAATATGGATGATTTATTTGCATAATATATATTGAAATTATATGTGTAAATCAGATTCACAGGTTTTTCCATAATAAATATACCACCATGACTTAAAACGAACTCCGTACAATAACAATATATGACAAATCAACCAAAGTAATAGTGACCAGGAAAACTGACACTTTTGGCGAGAGTAGTCTCCATAGCACAGGTGGTAGCGTGCTGGCCTCCAAATCAAGAGGTTGCAGGTTCGAATCTCGCCGAGGTTTAAACTTCTTTGTGTTTGTGTTGTTGTTGAAAGCCAGTAGTATTTCTCCCATAAACGTTTGCAGTGGAAGTATATCTACTTAATGTTGTGAAGTTAGTGGCAATACTAGTTACTAACTGACTAGTAAAGTCTACTAGCATGTTAGTGTCTGAGTGGACAGTGAAATTCACTAAGTTTGTAAACTTTACAAACAATTTCTGTCATTGTATCCACTAGACCACGAAGACGGTCGCATGAAGATGAGAAACTTGCAGCATCATAAAGATGGCCTAACATACTCATCTAACTGTTGTCTTGTCATAATTGCCAGGTAAGATTTGTTCTATTTTACATTTTCCAGCAACGCCACTGAACAGTTTGCTTACATCGCCAGCCCCCGGCTCGGGCGCACTTCGTCAAAAGAACAGTATGCGTATTACTACAAGTGAGTAAACAGGGAGAACTACTTTTTCTTTCAATCTTTTGAAAATTCAGACAGAATAATTTAGCTGCTAGTTTATATTCTGCAATTTAGAAATAGGTCAACATCGTGAGTATACTCCGCTTGCATATGTCGCTCCCAGTATTGATACAGTATTAATGCAGTATTGATGTAGTATTGACATTGACCAGCAAGTCTCCGCTATGATCCTTTCATACGTCTAGTCTGGGTCACTGATAACACGCAAATACCACTGAGAAGGGCGTCATCCATTTTTCAGTTGTCATAGTATGTCAAACTAGACAGAACAAATAACCTATATAAGTAGACTTACGCCAAGTGCCACTTCGCCCAAAACTTGAACTGTATTACACCCAACTTCATAACAACTTTGACTAGCGAACGCTGCAAGTGTTAGACAAGTATATTGTTGTAAACTGAATGAACGGTGAAAACAAATAGTTTCCAACGGATTAGTGGTGACCCTTTGAAGTGACCCGTGTACTACACAGCCCTTCCTTTGAGGGGTGGTGGGGTAGCCTAGAGGGTAAAGCGCTCGCTCGTCACGCCGAAGACCCGGGTTCGATTCCACACATGGATACAATGTGTGAAGCCCATTTCTGGTGTCCCCCGCCGTGGGGGAATATTGCTTGAATATTGCTAAAAGCGGCGTAAAACCATACTCACTCACTCACTCTTCCTTTGATATTGGACTACGATTATTTTCTTAACAGGAGATACCTAGAGTGTAAACCAGTGACATTCTTTTTATAAATAAGAACTCCAATTCTTAACTATCCATTATTTCTAATCTTTACAAGTGTGTTTGTGTGTTTGTTTGTTGTTGTTTAATCCAACATTCAGTACTAGAATGCGACCCATGAAGGCCCGGGGTAGAATAGGCCCTAAGCAACCCAGGCTTGCCGTAAAAGCCGACTATGTTTGTCGTGAGAGGCGACTAACGGAATCAGACTTGCTGACTTGGTTCATGCATGTCATCGTATCCCAATTGCGCGGATCGATGCTGATGATGCTAATCACTGGATTGTCTGGTCCAGACTCGAATATTTACAGACCGCCGCCACATAGCTTGAATATTGCTGAGTGCGGCGCTAAACAACAAACACTACGAAAGAATGTAAATATTCCAGCCTGGTGATTGATATTATGAGCAACGATTCCACGCCGTATTACGTTCTTATGTTTACAAGTGAGCGTGAAAAGTTCTTTGATTGTTGATTAGTCCCACACTGTATGACTTAGGAATCAAAATAATCCTGTCTGGACCAGACAAACTGGTGATTGATATTGTGACAACTATCATGCCGACGGCGTACGATGACACGCAATTGGTCAAGTCAACGAGCCTGACCATCCAATCCATTTAGCGACTTCGAAGACAAATATGGGTTGATAAGCTATTCTAACCCAGAGTCCCTCCTATGTTGTGTGGACCGCCTCCGTGGTCTAGTGGTAGAGCGTCCGCCCGGAGAGCGGAAGGTCCGGGATTCGATCCCCGGCTGCGTCATACCAAAAGACGTTAAAAGATGGTACTTGTTGTTACCCTGTCTGGCGCTCGGCATTAAAGGGCTAAAACAAGGACTGGTCGGCTCGGAGTCAGTATACTGTGTCTGAGTGGGGTATTCATGTTAAACTGCGGCATGGTATCACAGTGGGCTAGCACTATAAATCGGCATCAGTCCGGACTAGTACAAGCAGCCACACAAACACACACACATACATGCACGTCGCTATATAAGTGCAATAATCTTGGACGCGACGTTAAACCCCATTTCACCTCACCTTACCTAGGTTGTATGAGAGTGACCGAGTCAGTCTGTCAGTCAGTTATTTCGGTTTAACGCCGCATTAAACAGTATTCCAGTTTTATCAAGGTGTGTCAGTTTAATTTGGGAGGAAAGCCCGAGTCGATGCATGTCTTAGATGTTTATCACATTGGTCAAACCCACAATTACGTGTACGGTCCTGACAAACCTAGAAACATAATCAGGGCGAAACGGGATTCGAACCAACAATCATAGGTTTCTCGTGTATCCAAGGGATGTAACTCTGCACAGCGAATGCGGCGCCCTAGACGACTGAGCCTCGAGTGCGCCCTCTGGTGAGTGAGAAAGATATACAGGTTATTGCATGAATCTATGATTTACGCCACGTATTTCGTAAAATCAGTGTCAGTGTAATTTAATTATAAACTGACGTCCAAAACAAACTTTACCAGAGTTTGAAATCACTCTAGCTCAAAAACAACAAAACATACATGCATGAAGTAAAGTGTATTGAGAAGATCAATATATCAACATAATCAAGACTGAAATTGACAATCATACCGCGACCGAAAATGACGTCAGAGTTGACAGTGGTACAAAACTCGAGCTTTCAGAATCATGGACAATAGGCAGAGTACATAAACAATCGCTCCCGTTCAATAACAAGCCATTAGTAGCGTGTGTGACCACCAAATGCCTCAATACATGCAAAAACTCTTCGCCGCACAGAAAAAGTCAGTCGTCTGATGAGGCCACGTGGGATTTGACGCCATTCTTCTTGGAGGGCTAAGATCAGTTCTTGCCGGTTGGCTGGAGAGTGGTCGTTGTCGAACACGACGATACATCAAGTCCCAGAGGTGTTCTATGGGGGACATGTCGGGTGAGAGTGCAGGCCACGGCAGGACGTTGACGTTTTTGGCTGCGAGGAAGTTAGTGACAATTCTGGCTGTATGGACTCTAGCGTTGTCATGCTGATAAATGACACCATGTGGCTGCTGTTGGAGAAATGGTAGGACAACTGGACAAAGAATGTTATCCATGTAACGCTGAGCTGTCAAGTTTCCGTCAACGATGACCAGCGGTGTCCTTTCCTGCCCACAGATCCCTCCCCACACCATGACACTCCCTCCACCATATGGTACGACCTCCTGCACGCAACACGCCTCCGTTCGTTCACCCCTTCGGCGGTAAACACGTTGTCTTCCATCAGCCCTAAACATACAGAATCGACTTTCGTCAGTGAAGACAACCCTCTGCCAGTCACGTCGTTGCAAACGTCGTACAGTCCGGGCCCATCTCAATCGCAGACGATGTTGCGCTGTCAATAGCTGTCCTCTGTATGGTCTAAAAGCCCTGATTCCATGAGCCCTGAGTCTCCTGTCCACTGTCTGTCGACTAACCCTGTGACCTAAGGCATTTGTCGCCGATGACGTCACTGTCAGGAAGCGATTTCGGAGGTGCAAGGTACGCAAGTACCGGTCATCTTCGGGCGTGGTCACCCTGGGTCTGCCTGTTCTTGGCCTGTCAGCGGTCCGCCCTGTCTGTCTGTAATGGGGCCGTCACACCATGACGTTCTGGTCAGCGTTCTATGACGTTTGAGGAAACGTTGGTAGTCGCCCATGGTCGCTGGGATAGCGCCAGAAGAGCGTTGTGTGAACGCTAGTGAACGTCGGTGATGGCCGGGAAACCGCGGAGAACGCTGGTCCGGAAAAAAAGTTTTGAACATGCACAAAAGTTCTCACTGAGACCAGCGTTCTTCAACGTTTAATTTTAAACGCTAAAGAACGTTTAAGAACGTTCGTGGAACGTTTTACTAACGTTCGCCGAGCGTTGCACGCGTTCGGCTATCGTTAGTCAGTCGTTACTCTAGCGTTACTTGGTTGTTACTGATCGTTTGCTTTGCATTGAACGACTCACTGGCGACCTGTCAACGACCGCTGAACGGTTCCCTAGCGCAAGCAGCGTGTGACTAAAGTCCGAACACGTTAGTCACACGCTCAACACGCTCGTCTAACGTTGACAAATCGTTCGTCGCGCGCCAGTGGCACGTTAGCACACGCTAATGGTTTTCAGGGGTATCTTACTTGGTCGCTGTTACACGCTTCTCGTGCGTTAGACACACGCTAGTCATGCGTTAGGCACACGTTAACCACACGCCAGATGTGTCATCCTCATTCTAGAACGCTCAAAAATTGAACGATTGAAATGTTCAGAGAACGTTGACCAGAACGTCATGGTGTGACGGCCCCTTAACGTTGCATCAAGTTGGTAACGGCAACACGGGAGCAACCGAAGGTTCGTGCAATATGGGCGTGGGTGGCTCCCATCTGTACAATACCCAAGGCTCGTTCACGTTGTTCGACTGTGAGTCGTGGCATTTCTTTTGTGGTTTTTTTATCACTGTGGATGTCTGACTTGCCGTTGCAATCGTTTTATACCCTTACCCGTACGTGCATTTGCAGTTGTCCGTGGTGCACGTGTTTTTCACTTTTTTGCGTGTTTTCTCGCAAACATGTAACGGCGATTAACATTTTCTGCATACACTATTGTTGTATTTAGTTTATGTGTTTTAGATAGACTTCATCGAAAAAAAAATATATACTTTGTCTGAAATTTATATTTTCAGTTGGTAAAGTTTCTTTTGGACGTCAGTTTATTATAATCACGCGTTCTATTTGCTGACGTAAATGATAATAAATTAAATACATTTCAAAGCCATCACTTATCTGTAAACATTCAATGCTAGTCCAACATGCCATGCACTAAATAAATATAAAGCAACAACTGTTCTTACGTTTCGATAATATTATCAATCACTGCCAATTTGAAAAGGTAAAAAATAGCAGGGCATGAGAATGTGAAACTTTTCACAAATTATTAATTATATAATCATGCAAGTCACTTGCAACATTAGCGTTCTTAATTATAGTTCATAATGAAATTCATTTTATATACTTTTAGATAAAGTTTCCAATGCAGTTGGTGCCGGGCTTTTTCTAATGAGGTTAACATGTGTTCGTCTCTAAAGTGTATGAACGGGAAAAAGATCAATATATGTTGTCCTGAAACTAGTATTTTCGAACATAATATGTAGGTGAATATGTCAATGCTCTCAACTAGTTTAAAGAGCGTGTAGTGCTTAAAAATACATAAATGCTAAAAATCAATTTGGCTGTCAATGTTGTGTTGCACAGGGGTTTCAAGCTTTTCAGCGGATGTTTTCTTCCTGTGTCCACAGAACAGACAAGGTGCGCACCGTGGACACGAGACTGTACAATGACACGGCTGATCTGTTTGAGAGGGAGCCGTACAGTGTTCTGATAGAGGTACAGACAGGTGCAGGAGGTGAGTACAGGTCGAGATGTACAGTGTTCTGAATGAGGTACAGAGTATAGATTTACACTGTTCTGATAGAGTTACGTATGTGATCCCGTGATGCGATCACAGCTTGGCAAATGTGTCTGGATGCCAAGGGAACATTGTTAAATTCAGTCAGGGCATTGCCGAGTTCCTGCAAAGTTGCCAGAAGAACATGGCGTCGTGAGAGGGCGGTCTGCAGTTTGTTCCACATGTGTTCGATAGGGTTGAGGCCTTGTGACCGGGCTGGCCACTCCATACGGATAATCGAGTCCCGCCCTAGCCCTGAGTAGGCATCAACGGACCAGGCAAGACGAGGTTGTGCGTTATTGTCCATGAGGATGAAGTTCGCTCCGATTGCAGAATGCCCAGAATATCACCCTTGTAGCGCCCATCTGACCTCCTGCCCCGCTGTATGACATGGAGAACGATTCTCTGGTCCCAACCCAAATCATAATTGTGCCCCATCCATATCGGCTCCTTGTCTACTTCATATCGGGCACGACGATCTGTGAAGTCTAAACCACATCTCGATCCATCGATGAAAGGTACTGAGGCTCAGACCTGGTCTGTCCAATCGACATTATTTAGCCCAATCCAAAAAATGGCTGTGCCAAAATGTGATGTCGGGTCAGTGGAATGCGAATGCCTGCCCTCCGTAATTGGAGTAGAAAGGTTAACGCCACTTCTACGCTGGTCATTTCAGAGTATGATGGAACTCATAAAGTGATGACGTCTTGCTGCAATTATAAGAAACCTGTCTTCTCGTTCTGTGGTGGAACGCTGTCGACCACCTGCTCGTCGCTGAATAGCTGATCCAAACGTCTTGTATCTATTCCATATTGTGTTGACCCAGTGTTAAGCATGTCTATGCAGGTATCTATTCCATGTTGTGTTGACCCAGTGTTAAGCATGTCTATGCAGGTATCTATTCCATGTTGTGTTGACCCAGTGTTAAGCATGTCTATGCAGGTATCTGTTCCATGTTGTGTTGACCCAGTGTTAAGCATGTCTATGCAGGTATCTATTCCATGCTGTGTTGACCCAGTGTTAAGTATGTCTATGCAGGTATCTATTCCATGATGTGTTGACCCAGTGTTAAGCATGTCTATACAGGTATCTATTCCATGCTGTGTTGACCCAGTGTAAGTATGTCTATGCAGGTATCTATTCCATGCTGTGTTGACCCAGTGTTAAGCATTTCTATGCAGGTATCTATTCCATGCTGTGTTGACCCAGTGTTAAGCATGTCTATGCAGGTATCTATTCCATGTTGTGTTGACCCAGTGTTAAGCATGTCTATGCAGGTATCTATTCCATGCTGTGTTGACCCAGTGTTAAGCATGTCTATGCAGGTATCTATTCCATGCTGTGTTGACCCAGTGTTAAGCATGTCTATGCATGCATCTGCTTAACTCCTTAACGTCTTGGCCCGTGAAGATTCGGGATAGAATAGGTCTTCAGCAACCCCTGCTTGTCGTAAAAGGCGAATATGCTTGTCGTAAAAGGCGACTAACGGGATCGGGTGGTCAGGCTCGGTGACTTGGTTGATGCATGTCATCGGTCCAAATTGCGTGGATCGATGCTCATGTTGTCAATCACTGGATTGTCTGGGCCAGACTCGATTATTTACAGACCGCCGTCATATAGCTGGAATATTGCTGGAGTGCGGCGTTAAACAACAAACCAAACCAAAACCTTAACGTCTTTGACCCCGATCAGGCATAATTGCATTCAGTAGTTGCTATCCTCAGTAGCAAATGTTCTGCTCTCTGATAATAATGTGCACATATTCTGTCACGTTACATCCAAACCCAAATTTTCAAGCACCTAGAGCACACCCTGCCCATGACAGCATGCCTCTGTCCGTTCATCATGAAAATGAGGTCCTATTTTTAGGCTTAAGTAAACAATTCATTGTATACCGTGATCTTTATTTTTATTTGTTCGATGATTTTTTTATATCCTCAAAACTTGATCCTCAGAAAACTTTGAGTAGTAATATGTAGGACTTTCATAAGAACTTCCGTTATGTCGTCAAGCAATCACAATTCAGATAAGCTGCTTGTGGTAGTTATGTGTACATTGTTTTGATCCTTTAAAACTGCCTAATGACACCTTCAACCAACAGGTAGTCTGAGAATGGCTCTGACGGGCGTTCACATCAAACCTGACGATGCCGTGCACGAACTGCAAGTCATGGAGACCGTCTACAATGACACCAAGAACGCCTTCGGCACGGAGGTAAAGACTTATCTCTGATCCGTCGCAAAGTTCAGATCGTCACGTTACTTCCGAACGTCACTCAAGACTAATACACATATAAAAGCAAAGTGAAATTTTGTTCTTCGTGTTCATCAACAGATCAAACAGCATTTTTTAATACAGTGCGTCTCCTTCTCCAATTAACAGACGAAGGGGCTTCCCACCAGCAGACTTTGACCTTTCGTCAATTGTGGTTTCTGTGTGGCATTTAGATAAGAACTGTCCCAACCGGAGCAGGTAAACCATTTGCTCGGTGGAGTAGGTATTGCCGTTTAACAAATTCGACACTATTATTATTACAGCATCAACGACTTTTAGTTTGCGACCATGTCACGCGGAAGTCAATAAGTAAAGGCTAAAATCCTACTCAGAGGTCCGCACCGATTTCCCTCACACCGTGCTTATATTCGCAGATAAGACCGAGGAGGAGTTTTTATCCAACTTATAAACTGAAAGAAACGCCTGAAATTAACAATTTTATGTTCTGAACATAATTTCCATGAACGCCAGGAAACGGAAGTAAAATATATTTTGCTTGAAAAAGAGATTCTTACAAGCATTGTGGTGTATCAGCGCCTCTACAGCCTTGTTGTTCACTCACCAGGCTACAGATACGAACCTTACAAGTTCGACTCACTGAACTATAAAGACTTCTGTCGTTTGATTTAACATCATTCTTCACATGATGTCAAGTGCAAACTAAATCTCCAGTAAGGGACTTTCTATAGAATATCGCTGAAACAGAGGGGCTTTCTATAGAATATCGCTGAAACAGAGGGGCTTTCTGTAGAATATCGCTGAAACAGAGGGGCTTTCTATAGAATATCGCTGAAACAGAGGGACTTTCTATAGAATATCGCCGAAACAGAGGCACCTTCTATAGAATACCGCTGAAACAGAGGCACCTTCTATAGAATATCGCTGAAACAGAGGGACCTTCTATAGAATACCGCTGAAACAGAGGCACCTTCTATAGAATATCGCTGAAACAGAGGGGCTTTCTATAGAATATCACTGAAACATATGGACTTTCTATAGAATATTGCTGAACTTGCTATAGAATATCGCCGAAACAGAGGGACTTTCTATAGAATATCGCCGAAACAGAGGCACCTTCTATAGAATACCGCTGAAACAGAGGCACCTTCTATAGAATATCGCTGAAACAGAGGGACCTTCTATAGAATATCGCTGAAACAGATGGACTTTCTATAAACTATCGCTGAAACAGAGGGACATTATATATAACATCCTCGGAACAGAGGGGTTATACTACCAAATGAAGGCCCTGTCATCACAACTGGATGACATCACGTGTGGTATATAAGGCCAGGCCCCGCTTAACAAAGCCATTGAACATCGGCTTACCAAAGCCGTAGCGCTATGATCACTTTGTGAAACGGGTCATATCTGTTAAACAAACTCAACTCACACAAACAAAGGGGTATTTACTTTCAAGTGATTTGAATGCCGAATTCGAACTGATTTAATTCCGTGGGACAACGCTCCAAATTCGATCTGGATGGTTCTCAAAAATGGGCCACTACCATGTTTACACGATACACGTTGCTGTTCCAGAACATGCTCATCATGGGCGATATGAACGCCGACTGCAGATACGTCAAGAGCTCAGAGCTGTCAAGCATTAACCTTTTCTCAGACACCAAGACCTTTTGGACTCTCATCAGTGAGACTGAGGACACCACTACCTCTAACAGCAACTGTGCCTACGACAGGTACTTGAACATGTCGGTTGGTGTGGCCTAATAGCTTGACTTTATCAATACCAGGGAGTGATGCAACCCGAGTTGCGTCCCTTGGGCGTGTCAGTATCCGTTGGCTTCGAATCCCGGATTCGCTCTGATTATGACCCCTCCACGTTACACTGACACGTCCCGGTCTTACTGAAATACTGTGCAAAGTTAAGTTTAAACCAACTCACCCCTACACTCACTCACCATCAGTTACACTGTCTTTATGGGCCTTTCATACTTATGTATCAGACCCGTGAAGATCCAGGGTAGCATAGGTCTTCAGCAACCAATGCTTGCCGTAAAAGGCGACTATGCTTGGCTAAGAGGCGACCAACTGAATCGGGTGGTCAGGCTCGCCGACTTGGTTGATGCATGTCATCGTATCCCAGTTGTGTGGATCGATGTTCATGATGTCAATCACTGGATTGTCCAGTCTCGATTATTTACAGACCGCCGTCATCTACCTGTAATATTGCCGAGTGCGGCGTTAAACAACAAACAAACTTATTTATCCATTCTCAATTAACGATTGAATGATCGTTTGGCACAGATCGATATTACTACAGCAATTATAAAAAGATCAGTTGATCTCTTCATGTACCGTTTTAAAATTAAGTATGGACGTCATTGCCTTTCATAAATAAAGGCCTAATGTAATAAGCTGCGTGTTAATATGATTTGAAACCTCATATTGTCCAGCAGTCTCAAAAGTCATGACAGATGTGCATTACTTGTGTGATCACGTTTCCTTGTCCATGCCAAACCTGGCGACAATGAGAGGCACTCGTAGCCGTAGTTGGTATTCTCCCGGTGCTTCAGTGGTAGATCCTTCTTCAGCAACCCATGCTTGTTGTAAGAGGCCAATAACGGGATCTAAAGGTCAGGTTCGATGACTTGGTTAATGCATGTCATCACTTGTCCATTATGAAGATCGATGCTCATGATGTCAGTTACTGGATTGTCTGGTCCAGACTTGATTGTCTTCAGACTACCGTCATATAGCTGGAATATAGAAGTGTTTCAAGTCTGAGTAAGGATAAAATATATAGGTGAACAAACTCCTTTTTACAATTGGGAGCGACGTTTCGGTGTAGGTTCTAACCTCTCAAAGAAGTGTTTTAAGTCATACATGTACATTGAAAGAGATTATTTTTAATCCAGTGGATGCTCTTTTGAGCATATTTGTGGGATTAGATGAAGCAGAAAGAATAGTTTCACTGTATCTCGGCTACAGGTGTAATCATTCTTATGGGTGCTAATATTGTACTAGGTTTTATTCTGGAATTGATGTTGTCGCTTTCACTTATAAATACTTGTCTCTGTCAGTGAAGGGTTCATCTTCTGTCTCATTCACCTTTTCCTCCAGGATCGTGGTAGCGGGTGCTGAGCTTGAAAGTCACGTGGTAGCGTACGACACAGAGTACTTCGGCACTGAGTTTGGGCTGACAGCGGAACAGGTAGGGTAGAGTCACATCGGAGGAGGAACATCGAGAACGTGACACAACACGACACGACAGGGTGACACGACACTATAGGTTGACACGATACGACAGGGTGACACGATACAGCACCACAGGATGAGACGACACGACATGAAATGGTGACACGACACTATAGGTTGGCATGATACACACCACAGGATGAGACGACACGACAGTTTGACACGACACGACACGACACGACACGACATGCTGACACGACACTATAGGTTGACATGATACACACCACAGGATGAGACGACACGACAGGACATGATACGACACGACACTATCAACGACACGACAGGATGACACGACACGATATGTTGACACGATACAGCACCACAGGATGACACGACACGACAGTTTGACACGACACGACACGACACGACAGTATCAACGAACCAAAGGACATGAGTCGACATAACGACACGGCTCGACTTAACGACACTGGTCGACATAAATGCACGGCTCGAAATAACGAAACTGGTCGACATAACGACACGGCTCGACATAACGACACTGGTCGACATAACGTCAAGGCTCGACATATCGACACGGCTCGACATAACGACACTGGTCGACATAAATACACGGCTCGACATAACGACACTGGTCGACATAACGACATGGCTCGACATAACGACACGGCTCGACACTACCAGAACTTGACACGGCTTGACATAACGACACGGCTCGACATAACGTCACGGCTCGACATAACGACACGGCTCGACATAACGACATGGCTCGACATAACGACACGGCTCGACACTACCAGAACTTGACACGACTTGACATAACGACACGGCTCGACATAACGACAGTGGTAGACATAACGACACTGGTCGACATAACGACACGCCTCGACATAACGACACTGGTCGACATAAATACACGGCTCGACATAACGACACTGGTCGACATAACGACACGGCTCGACAAAACGACACGGCTCGACATAACGACACGGCTCGACATAACGACACGGCTCGACATAACGACACGGCTCGACATAAATGCACGGCTCGACATAACGACACGGCTCGACACTACCAGAACTTGACACGACTTGACATAACGACACGGCTAGACATAACGACGGTGGTAGACATAACGACACTGGTCGACATAACGACACTGGTCGACATAAATACACGGCTCGACATAACGACACTGGTCGACATAACGACACGGCTCGACATAACGACACTGGTCGACATAACGACATGGCTCGACATAAATTCACGGCTCGACAGAACGACACGGCTCGACATAACGACACGGCTCGACACAGTGTTACTAGGGTGTGTTTTTGTTACACGTGAACAAATCTGTGAGGAGCGATACGAATATATCCTGAGACAGTGTTACTCGACACATAACCAGGTACGCTGACTGGACTAGATACAAATCGGTGATTCAGGCGTTATTTCGTCAGAAGTCGTTGAAGATCCAGACAATTCTTTCACTCTGAGCTCAAAAACAAACATATATACAAAATTATTTTATGGAAAGTCACCATTACCATGGCAACACGATCATATAAGTTCTGGGGTTATTATGTGTTTCTTTTCTTTCAGGAAAAGGCAGTCAGCGACCACTTTCCTGTGTGGGTCACCTTTAACCTGGATGCTCGGAAGTAAACACTCTAGCCTCGCTTTCAGTGATGTATACATTTGAAAATACTGTTACTCAGACCTTGGACATTAAATGAACACTAGGAACAACGAGCCTGATATTACATCTAACACATACGTATGTTTGTTGTTTTCCCTTCCAACATAACGAAAGTGCAAGTGATTCCGTGGCATTTGATGCTCACCAAGCATTAATTTGGCAGGGCTTGTGATGCATTAATGCGCGGAACGATGTCACTGAATTCGAATTGTTTTCCACAGTTGTATTTGTGAAATAAATAAACAGTCTGAGAAGTTATGATTGCTGACGATTTATTTATAAGAACTGATTTCTTGGTATGTTTACGTTTGTAGAGACACACGTAATATCGACGTGCACACTTTGCCTAAATTCGTGTTTAAATGATTAAGTTGAGTTTTACTCCGCTTTAAAAGCTTTTCAGTTAATTCCAATCGCGCAATCTTAATGTGAGAGCAACACCCAAAGTGACGCGGATAAACCTGACGGGTATGGTACGGCTACAGTGTTATCGTAATAACAGTAAATATGGGATTCAAACCAACGATCAATGGATCGACAACCAGTGTCCTGTCTATATGTATGAAGAAAGATAAGCCAAGATTCTAAGGTACCAAAAGGGCTATTATGCACTCGGGTCTTCGGCGTGACGAGCGAACGCTTTAACCACTAGGCTACCCGACCGCCCGAATTCAGAAGAAGAGTTGAAAGCGTACATATACCAGCATGCATGGTGACGGATGCTAGGGATGCTGAAGAAACACGCCGTAAACGCTTGTGTCTGGACACCAACGAGTGCCAAGAGCGTTGTGGAATCACAGCATTGCTCTCATATCAAACTAGGATGATGGCACACACGTCATTTGTCACCTTACAAGGTAATGGTGACTTTGACTGGGTCGTGTCGTGTCGTGTCGTGTCGTGTCGTGTCGTGTCGTGAAGCGGTGTTTGCTGTGAGCTACATGTGGGATAACGTGTGTTTGCGCTGACCTGTTTGGAGTAGCCTTTGTTTGCAGTAACGTGTGCCAGAGGTAATATGTTCGTCGTAACCCTAAGTGAGTGAATGAGTTAAATTTCAAGTCACATCGGTAATATACGTACTGGTATGTTTGAGATAACGTGCTGGTATGTTAGAGGTAACGTACAGGTATGTTAGAGGTAACGTACAGGTATGTTTGAGATAACGTACTGGTATGTTTGAGGTAACGTGCTCCTGGTATCTTTGAGGCAACGTACAGGTATGTTTGAGGTAACGTTCTGCTGGTATGTTTGAGGTAACATGCTGGTATGTTTGAGGTAACGTGCTGGTATGTTTGAGGTAACGTGCTGGTATGTTTGAGGTAATGTACTGGTATGTTTGAGGTAACGTGCTGGTATGTTTCAGGTAATGTGCCGGTATGTTTGAGGTAACGTGCTAGTATATTTGAGGTAACGTGCTGGTAAGTTTGAGGTAACGTGCTGGTATGTTTGAGGTAACGTGCTGGTATGTTTAAGGTAACGTGCTGGCATGTTTAAGGTAACGTGCTTGTATGTTTGAGGTAATGTGCTTGTATGTTTAAGGAAGCGTACTGGTATGTTTGAAGTAACGTGCTGGTATGTTTGTGGAAACGTACTGGTATGTTTGAGGTAATGTGCTGGTATGTTTGAGGTAACGTGCTTGTTTGTTTGTGGTAACGTGCAGGTATGTTTGAGGTATCGTGCTAGTATATTTGAGGTAATGTGATGGTATGTTTGAGGTAACGTGCTGGTATGTATGAGGTAACGTGCTGGCATGTTTGAGGTAACGTGCTGGTATGTTTGAGATAATGTGCCGGTATGTTTGAGGTTACGTGCAGGTATGTTTGAGATAACATACCGGTATGTTTGAGGTAACATTCTGGTATGTTTGAGGTAACGTGCTGGCATGTATGAGGTAACGTGCTGGTATGTTTGAGGTTACGTGCCGGTATGTTTGAGGTATTGTGCTAGTATATTTGAGGTAACGTGTAGGTATGTTTAAGGAAGCGTACTGGTATGTTTGAAGTAACGTGCTGGCATGTTTGTGGTAATGTGCTGGTATGTTTGAGGTAATGTGCTGGCATGTATGAGGTAATGTGCTGGTATGTTTGAGGTTACGTGCCGGTATGTTTGAGGTATTGTGCTAGTATGTTTGAGGTAACGTGCAGGTATGTTTAAGGAAGCGTACTGGTATGTTTGAAGTAACGTGCTGGTATGTTTGTGGTAATGTGCAGGTATGTTTGAGGTATTGTGCTAGTATATTTGAGGTAACGTGCAGGTATGTTTAAGGTAACGTGCTGGTATGTATGAGGTAACGTGCTGGCATGTTTGAGGTAACGTGCTGGTATGTTTGAGATAATGTGCCGGTATGTTTGAGGTTACGTGCAGGTATGTTTGAGATAACATACCGGTATGTTTGAGGTAACATTCTGGTATGTTTGAGGTAACGTGCTGGCATGTATGAGGTAACGTGCTGGTATGTTTGAGGTTACGTGCCGGTATGTTTGAGGTATTGTGCTAGTATATTTGAGGTAACGTGCAGGTATGTTTAAGGAAGCGTACTGGTATGTTTGAAGTAACGTGCTGGCATGTTTGTGGTAATGTGCAGGTATGTTTGAGGTATTGTGCTAGTATATTTGAGGTAACGTGCAGGTATGTTTAAGGAAGCGTACTGGTATGTTTGAAGTAACGTGCTGGCATGTTTGTGGTAATGTGCTGGTATGTTTGAGGTAATGTGCTGGCATGTATGAGGTAATGTGCTGGTATGTTTGAGGTTACGTGCCGGTATGTTTGAGGTATTGTGCTAGTATGTTTGAGGTAACGTGCAGGTATGTTTGAGGTAACGTGCTGGCATGTATGAGGTAACGTGCTGGCTTGTTTGAGGTAACGTGCTGGTATGTTTGAGGTAATGTGCTGGTATGTTTGAGGTAACGTGCTGGCATGTATGAGGTAATGTGCTGGTATGTTTGAGGTTACGTGCCGGTATGTTTGAGGTATTGTGCTAGTATGTTTGAGGTAACGTGCTGGTATGTTTGAGGTAACGTGCTGGCATGTATGAGGTAACGTGCTGGCTTGTTTGAGGTAACGTGCTGGTATGTTTGAGGTAATGTGCAGGTATGTTTGTGGTAATGTGCTGGTATGTTTGAGGTAACGTGCCGGTATGTTTGAGATAATGTGCCGGTATGTTTGAGGTTACGTGCTGGTATGTTTAAGGAAGCGTACTGGTATGTTTGAGGTAACGTGCTGGTATGTTTGTGGTAACGTACTGGCATGTATGAGGTAATGTGCTGGTATGTTTGAGGTTACGTGCCGGTATGTTTGAGGTCTTGTGCTAGTATATTTGAGGTAACGTGCAGGTATGTTTAAGGAAGCGTACTGGTATGTTTGAGGTAACGTGCTGGTATGTTTGTGGTAACGTACTGGCATGTATGAGATAATGTGCTGGTATGTTTGAGGTTACGTGCCGGTATGTTTGAGGTATTGTGCTAGTATATTTGAGGTAACGTGCAGGTATGTTTAAGGAAGCGTACTGGTATGTTTGAGGTAACGTGCTGGTATGTTTGTGGTAACGTACTGGCATGTATGAGGTAATGTGCTGGTACGTTTAAGGTAACGTGCTGGTATGTTTAAGGTAACGTGCTTGTATGTTTAAGGTAACGTACTGGTATGTTTGAAGTAACGTGCTGGTATGTTTGTGGTAACGTACTGGTATGTTTGAGGTAATGTGCTGGTATGTTTGAAGTAACGTGCTGGTATGTTTGTGGTAACGTGCTGGTACGTTTAAGGTAACGTGCTTGTATGTTTAAGGTAACGTGCTGGTATTTTGAGATAACGTACAGGTGTTTGATGTAACATAATCGTATGTATGAGCCAGTTTGGAATAGAGGACACGAGGTAGGTGGGACTAGAGGACATGAGGGAGGTGGGACTAGGGGACATGAGAGATTTGGGACTAGAGGATACGAGGTAGGCGGGACTAGAGGGCATGAGAGATTTGAGACTAGAGGATACGAGGTAGGTGGGACTAGAGGACATGAGAGATTTGGGACTAGAGGATACGAGGTAGGTGGGACTAGAGGACATGAGAGATTTGGGACTAGAGGACACGAGGGAGGTGAGACTAGAGGGCATGTGACAGTTGGGACTAGAGGACACGAGGGAGGCAGGACTAGAGGACACGAGGGAGGCAGGACTAGAGGACATGAGAGATTTTGGGACAAGAGGACACGAGGGAGGTGGGACTAGAGGATACGAGGGAGGTGGGACTAGAGTGTATGAGAGATTTGGGACTAGAGGATACGAGGGAGGTGGGACTAGAGGACATGAGAGATTTGGGACTAGAGGACACGAGGGTGGTGAGACTAGAGGGCATGTGACAGTTGGGACTAGAGGACACGAGGGAGGTAGGACTAGAGGGCATGTGACAGTTGGGACAAGAGGACATGAGGGAGGTAGGACTAGAGGACACGAGGGAGGTGGGACTAGAGGGCATGTGACAGTTGGGACTAGAGGACACGAGGGAGGTGGGACTAGAGGGCATGTGACAGTTGGGACTAGAGGACACGAGGAAGGTAGGACTAGAGGACATGAGGGAGGTGGGACTAGAAGACATAAGGGAGGTGGGACTAGAGGACACGAGGGAGGTGGGACTAGAGGACATGAGGGAGGTGAGACTAGAGGACATGGGAGATTTGGGACTAGAGGACACGAGGGAGGTGGGATTAGGGGACACGAGGGAGGTGAGACTAGAGGAGATGAGACAGTTGGAACGAGAGGACACGAGAGGGTTGGGACGTGAGGACAAGAGAGAGTTGGGACTAGAGGACAAGAGAGAGTTGGGACTAGATGACACGAGAGGGTTGGGACGTGAGGACATGCGGCAGTAGGGACTTGAGGACATGTGACAGTTGGAACTAGAGAACAAGAGAGAGTTGGGACTAGAGGACAAGAGAGAGTTGAGACTAGAGGACAAGAGAGAGTAGGGACTAGAGGACACGAGGGAGGTCGGACTAGAGGACAAGAGAGAGTTGGGACTAGAGGACAAGAGAGAGTTGAGACTAGAGGACAAGAGAGAGTTGGGACGTGAGGACATGCGGCAGTAGGGACTTGGGGACATGTGACAGTTGGAACTAGGGGACATGAGAGAGGTTCGGACAAGAGGACGACAATCTTACGACGATTCCGCATAAGAGCCTACCGCCCCCTCCGTGGCATGGCCTTCCTCCCTCTACACCGTCAATGCAGATTACAATTGGCAAGAACTGTACGTCGGAGGCAGGAGCGTGATTAGGAAAGGGTGTTGTTTACAGAGGAAAGTCACTTCAATTATGGCCGAGTCCATGTTAATCGACGTAGGGGAGAGCGACTGACACCTAACTGCATCCAAGATGTGCACCCTTATGGTGAGACGGCGTCATGGTATGGGGCGGTATTTGTGGTCAGCGGACAACAAGGGTTGTCAACATCCGTGGAAATCAGACAGGCCAAAGATACAGAGATGAATTGTTGCGACCTGTTGAAATGCCATCCTTACATGGACAGACAATGGGTACCCTTTTGCAGCAGGATAATGCACGACCACATACCGCCAGACTTGTTCAGCAACATCTGCACAACGTTAACGTCAACGTATTGCCTTGGTCAGCATGTTCTCCAGACATGAATTCCATAGAGCATCCCTGTGATCATCTTGATCGACAGCTGGGACAACGCGTACCTCCCCCGGCAAGCAGACAGCAGCTTGAATAGGTTTTATTGGAGGAGTGGCGTAAAATTCCTGCAGACGTCACCCGGCGACTGACGACATCCATAAGGAGACGTATTTTTGCGTGCATTGATGAAGGGGGTGGTCACACACGCTATTAAGACCTGTCTTGTCACATGATTTAACTAATGAGTACTTTTTCAAATGGACTCGTGTTAATGTATTTTTTTATTTTGACCCCCATGTCTCTTTCGCTCTGCGCCGGCCTTATGTCAAGTGCACTATCGATATAACAATTGTGTACGGACCTCGAAAAATGATCCCTTTCATTAAAATAATCATGATAAAGTTAACACCTGTCTTTGTTTCTTTTCATGGAGCTACTGAACAAGGTGTACTGAACAAGGTGTACTGAACAGGGTGTACTGAACAAGGTGTACTGAACAGGGTGTACTGAACAAGGTGTACTGAACAAGGTGTACTGACCAAGGAGATAAGTTCCTTTCCCCGGTAGTTTAGTGACCAATCATTCACGTTATACATGTTTCACGAGTGTTACAATTTATTTATTCAGTTGGTTTCTTAACACAAGAAGCGACTCATTGCTAAGACTTGCACAGAACTGCGTCGGATTAGTTGCTGACGGCGATGCTCAACGTCACCCAGACAGGGTAGTGGTCGCTCACTGATTTCACCTGAAAACAAAACATAATACTTGACATTAAAGATGAAATAGAAATACATCATGTAATAAATATAGAATTATGAAACGACTGAATAGTTCTGGGCACCGATCCACAAAGCGATCTTAGCGCTACGACTATCGTAAGCCAGTGTTAAAGTATGGGGGTTACGATCACCTTAGTGCTAGGATGGCTTTGTGGAACGGGGCCCTGGTATCAGACGAGCGAAAGGAATATTCACGAGTTTCATAAAATTGGTATTACACGGGAGCGAGTTTAGTATTTTTTTTGTTACTTGGCATTAATGACTTTTATATCATTTCACTGTAGTGTGTGAAAATAGGCAGACACCAACGCGACCCACCGCACACTCCAACAGAATTTTACTTCAAACACGTCAAAAGGTGACACGTATAAATTTAATACCATACAATGGCCCTCCTTTAAACTTCAGGAGTCCGTTACACAAAGCTATCGTGCGTTAAAGTTCGCGTACGTCCCAGACAGACTTACGACTGTCGCTGCGCTACGGTTGGTTGGTTGGTTGTTTAACGCCACACTCAGCAATATTCAAGCTATATGACGGCGGTCTGTAAATAATCGAGTCTGGACAAGACAATCCAGTGATTAATATCATGAGCATCAATCCACGCAATTGGGATTGATGACATGCATCAACCAAGTCAGCGAGCCTGACCACCCGATCCCGCGCTGCGCTACGATCGCCTTGTGGGACGAAACCCTGCACCACAAAGTTTACAATCACCCAATTTGTGAGAATTCGTTGCCGGCGAAACAATGCGATGTGACGTCAGCCTATCAATAGTGTTGCTGGGGTCATCGCGTGTTCATGATCTCCTCTGGTTGATCTCTACACGCAATGTCGTTGAATTAGACAAGGGATGTTGAGAAGTTTCAATATTTGCAAATGAAACTTGTTCTCGCAGTACATAAGCACGCGCTTTGGTAAGAAAAACCGTGTAATGCCAGCTTATTGGTATTAAACACTATGTAATACCAGCTTATTGTTTTAAACACTGTGTAATACCAGCTTATTGTTATTAAACACTTTGTAATACCAGCGTATTGTAATACCAGCTTATTGTTATTAAACACTGTGTAATACCAGCTTATTGTTATTAAACACTGTGTAATACCAGCTCATTGTTATTAAACACTGTGTAATGCCAGCTTATTGTTATTAAACACTGTGTAATACCAGTTTATTGTTATTAAACACTGTGTAATACCAGCTTATTGTTATTAAACACTGTGTAATGCCAGCTTTTTGTTATTAAACACTATGTAATACCAGCTTATTGTTATTAAAAGGGTGATTTCTTCACGGGCAAGTAATAAAAAGTGTTTATTTCCCATAGAGTTAGAAATATCAGGGTTCATAAAAATCGTATGTGCATGAGTGCAAATAACGCGCACCAGTGTATTGTCAACGTCATCCGGACGACATTGTTGACGTCCTTCGACTCTTATTGTGACGTAAGGTCGGAATAACGTCATACTAGAAATGCCGTCTTAGCTGAAGATTGTTCATGTCATTCGACAATTGTGGTTTTTTTTCCATTGTTCTAAAGGGGGCTCGCAGGATCAAGAAATTACGGGTAATAAAGAAATTATTACACTCGTATGTGATTTTACGAAACTCATATACGGGAAATACAAGAATTCTGACACACGGTTCGTAAAATTAGTATGACACACAAGCTCATGTAATAATCGCTACTTAAGTAAGAATAAGAAAGGCTTCACGCTGTTGTCAGCGGTATTTCAGTTATAAAATAAAATAAAATATAAAAAATACAACTGTTTCAAATAAAACGCACTTCTATAGTGACCGTATTTTAATTGGAAGAGCATGTGAGAATATATGAAGGGTCAGCGTCCCTAAATCGATAAAAGGTCTGCTTTTAAAGGTTTTGCGGAAAGACAGCGGTCTAATAGGCATCTTCAAAGTGATATGCTAAATTAGGTACTTGGAGTTTAGATAACCCGTAACAAGAACTAGCAATGGCATTTCCTATCTGAAATACGTTTACATTACACTAACTGGCGATACACATTTTAGTTGTTTTTATTAACGTAACTTTATTTTCCTATCTAAAGAGTCAGTATCAATCGTTCACATGAATTAATCAGCAGTGGATCAGTCTTTTACCCTCTTACGGGTGAGGTGAAATAATGTTTAACGTCGCGATCAATATTAAAGCACTTATATAGCGACGCGTGCGTGCGTGCGTACGTGTGTGTGTGCGTGCGTGCGTGCGTGCGTGCGTGTGTGCGTGTGCTTGTACCAATGCCAGCCCACTGTGATATATAGCTCCACCTTGACATGGATACCCTACACAATATACTGACTCCAAGCTGACCAGTACTTGTTTTATCTCCTTAATGCCGAGCGTCAAGAAGGGTAACAACAAATGCCATCTTTTAACGTCAATTGGTATTAACGGGGATCGAACCACCGACCTTTAGCTGTCATCTTGTTAGGCGGAGACAGAAACCAATCAGTGATATTAATTGTAATATTTATTTATTTTCCAGATGATGCTGCATTTGACAATTCGTAACGAGAAGAAAGGTCAAAAGAGGGCGTTTCTCTGTTTTATGGCTCCTTTAACAGGCATTGCTTCCTCTGACCTCGGACTTACATACCTCCTTGGGGGTGAGACCGAACTCAGTTCCGAAGTGCTCGGTGTCAAAGGCAACCACGTGGCTCTTTAACTCAGCTCCGGCAACTATGATTCTGAAATAGTGAGTGAATGAGGGAGATGGGTTTAACGCCGAAAATAATTTCAGCTCTATGAATACGATTGAGCTAAATGTGGCGCAGACGGGTCTTCTGTCAACAGACCAGGGTTCTTAAACGGGGATGAATCGAAACTACAACATTCGGATCCTGGCATAACTAAGAGAGGCAACTCTGCACAACGAGATCACTGAACTAAGTTTATTTCGCGCCCAGTAATATTCCAGCTACATATACATGTAACGGCCCCCTGTAAATATGCAGACCTGGACCAGAAAATCCAGTGATTGATATGATGATCAACGTCCCACGTGGTCGAAGTACGGTGACACGAAATCAACCAAATCATCGACTGTTACTGCAAGATCGATATTGTTGCCTACGACAGACATAGTTATACACTGCCGGACAAAAGAAAGTATTCACCCGTGTTTGGTGGCTGAAAATGAAACTTACAATAAATGGCTATTCGATGGTGATGTATTTGATGCGGGTATCATAATTGTTGTTTGGTCCTTAATTTGCAGTATTTCGGAGAGATTTTCAGCCTAATAATTTTTTGACAACGTTTCTGATATTTTGGTCAAATCCAATTTTTGTGTGTATACTTTCTTTTGCCTGTCAGTTTATTTTACTGGGGACCAATTCTAACCCGGAAGTCCTACTGGGTAAACCATTCCTATTAAACTTAAACTGATTTAACCTAGGCCCGGATTAACGGATGAAGGTATTTCAACATCGATATTCACCTGCGTTTCCAACACTAAGCGTCCGCATATGCGGTTTCCGGATTAAAGAGATTCTCGCTTACCTGTCGTAGGTGCAGCTGCTGGCGGCCGTCGTGGTGTCCTCGCTGTCTTTGATGAGGGACCAGAACGTTTCTGTATCTGTGAACAGCCGCAACTTCTTCCTCTCCGTCGCCGTCACGTAGCTGCAGTCGGCGTTCATGTCGCCCATGATGACGACGTTCTGTGAAACAGTGCATTAGACAGAAAATCCCCGAAATCCTTTCTGTAATTATAAGAGCTATTAGCGAGAAGCAAAGTCCACTGCACGATCCCGAGTGTCACATGAGCAGGTGTTTGAGAATCGCTATCATTGTGTTTATACCAAGTGTTCGCGAAAAGGGGACACCTGTCACAAACACATGCAAAGACAAGTCAAATATTAACTTGAAAAGACAAGGAAACATAATGGTACAAGTCAAACTAGGGAATATGTTTTTAACAAAAGCAATGTCTTTGGGTGTAGGTACTGATCTCACGTATTAGAATCACCCAGTTTACTGCAGGAGTGTCACACACAGAGATGTGCAGATATCTAGGACGTGATTAATTTCAAAGAACTCATACTTTTTAACCAGACAGACGATATCAGCACTGATAGGGTAAATGGTTCTTGAAAACTAAAACGTTGTAAATTGAGGTTTTTAGGTTATTGTTATTGAGGGTTCTTGGGGTTCTTGAAATTTCAACTTTTGTATCTTGAAATTTCAACATAGCATCTAAGTTGAAATTTGAAGGTATAATCTTAAAATTTCAACTTATTATCTTGAAATTTCAAGATCCTTAACTTGATATTTCAAATTAGTATCTTGAAATTTCAACATGACTTCTTGAAATTTCAAGAAAAAAAACAGAAATACAAATTGTCCTTAAAGGCTTCCGTACGAAAATTGCAGCTTAATGAAAGTGTAGAACAAAATTCAGTAAAGATAAGGGTTAATTAAAATAAAGCTTTCTTTGATACTGAGTATTGTAGCCCAAATCCAAAATATTGGCTCCAAGGCAGATTGTGTTTTTTATGGCAATTTACTGACTTTTTACGTGTGTTGATCATGATGTTGCTTGCTACTTTTGTTTCTTTTGAACTGAAAGGATGCTGAAGACACAGGGGAGGGTGGGTAGGGATTTTACGTGCGCCTCATACCGGAGACGCGTTCTAGACAATCTGTGAGTGAGTAAGTGAGTTGACTTTAACGCCGCTTTGAACAGTCCAGTTATATCACGGCGTGTCATCTTGATATGGGAGGAAAGACCGAAGTGATGCAGGTCACAGACGTTTACCACTTCGGCGAAACCCACGAGCACGGTAAAGGAAAAAGACAAACCTGGAAAGATGATCGGGGCGAACCGGGTTTCGAACCCACACTCATAGGTTTAAAGCGGGCCCAAGGGACACAACTCTGCACAGCAAACTGTGACGCCTAAGACGACTGGGCCACCCGTGCCCCAAGACAATTCTGTCATTTTGTGGGGTGAAATGAAGTTTAAGTCGTTTTTGAGATTATTTCAATCACGTAGCGACTTACACGCACGTGTGTTTGGTTACTGTCCTAGTTTGCCAGTTTAATAGTGCTAGCTCACTGAGATACCGCACCCGTTATTAGAGTATCTGACCAAAACTGAAACGTCAAAAAATCACGAAAACAAATGCATTGTCCAAAGCAACAACCTAACGTCCTCTCATGCTCTAAATAAGTGTCTCTGTGGTTGCCAAGGGAAGATTGTACACTCTTCAGTCAGAGCATTGCCGAGGTCCTGTAGTGTTACCGGATGGACTTGGCGTCGTGAGAGGGCGACCTGCAGCTCGTTCCACATGTGTTCGATAGGGTTGAGGTGTGGTGACCGGGCTGGTGTCTACATGCGGACAATGGTCTCCTTACCTAAGTAGGCATCAACGAGCCTGGCACGATGGGGTCGTGCGTTATCGTCCATGAGGATGAAGTCCGGTCCGATTTCACCCGTATAAGATCTCACGTACACATCTATAATAGAATGTCATCCCCGTAGCGCACACACCTGTCATCGTTGACATGGAGATTGGTTCTTCCAGCTCTGCAGATCTCACATGGAGATTGGTTCTTCCAGCTCTGCAGATCCCACATGGAGATTGATTCTTCCAGCTCTGCAGATCTCACATGGAGATTGGTTCTTCCAGCTCTGCAGATCCCACATGGAGTTTGATTCTTCCAGCTCTGCAGATCCCACATGGAGATTGGTTCTTCCAGCTCTGCAGATCCCACATGGAGATTGGTTCTTCCAGCTCTGCAGATCTCACATGGAGATGGGTTCTTCCAGCTCTGCAGATCTCACATGGAGATTGGTTCTTCCAGCTCTGCAGATCCCACTCCAAATCATGATTGAACCCCCTCCATAGTGGTCATGAGCGGCTATTTTGGAATCCTGAAATGTTTCTACTTGGCTACGCCACACTCAGGCACGACGATCTGTGAAGTCTACTCAGTATTTCGATTCATCAGTGAAAAGTACTGGAGGCCAGTCCCAGTCTGTCCAATTGACGTGATCTTCAGCCCAATCCAAACGTGATTCATTGCCTGTGATATCAGGTAAGTGGGATGCGTAAGCATGCCCTCCGTGACCGGAGACCAGCCTCACGGAGACGATTACACGCGGTTAGCAGAAACGTTAACGCTACATGCGTTCCGCATGTCATTTCTGAGTGTGGTGGTAGTCACGAAGTGATGACGTCTTGCTGCAATCAGGAGAAACCTGTCTCCCCGCTGTGTGGAGGTATGCTGTCGACCGCCTGCGTGTGGCTGGGTAGCTGATCCAAATATCTGGTGTCGAAACCCATTTCTGGTGTCCCCCACCGTGATATTGCTAGAATATAGCTGAACGCGCCATAAAACCATACTCATTCACTCAATTAATCAATCAATCAATGATACTTGGCAAACTTTGACTAGTACACTTATGATATATTTAGAAACCATATAATAAACACATTGACAGTACCTCAGTATTGAAGAAAGCTTTGGCGTCGGTGTACACTGCCGTCATGGCGTCCAGCTCCCCCACAGCGTCTGAGGGCTTGATGTGCACCCCGGTCAGAGCCATCCGCAGAGGTCCTGGACCAACAATAACACCACGTGGTAGTGGACATGGCTAAAAGTAGTTAAAATATTTTTACATATATTATAACTGTTCTCACCCCCGATGTTCTCGCCACCTCTGTCAAGCCAATACATCTCTAAATATACTCTCGACACCTCTGCTAAGTCAATACATCTCTAAATATACTCTCGACACCAGTCTCAAGTCAAGACATCTCTAAATATACTCTCGACACCTCTCTCAAGTCAACACATCTGTGAATATACTCTCGACACCTCTCTCAAGTCAATACATCTGTGAAGACATCTCTAAATATACTCTCGACACCTCTCTTGAGTCAATACATCTCTAAATATATTCTCATCACCTCTCTCAAGTCAATACATCTCTAAATATACTCTCATCACCTCTCTCAAGTCAATACATCTCTAAATATACTCTCGACACCTCTCTCAAGTCGAGAAATCTCTAAATATACTCTCGACACCTCTCTCAAGTCAAGACATCTGTGAATATACTCTCGACACCTCTCTCAAGTCAACACATCTGTGAATATACTCTCGACACCTCTCTCAAGTCAATACATCTGTGAAGACATCTCTAAATATACTCTCGACACCTCTCTTGAGTCAATACATCTCTAAATATACTCTCATCACCTCTCTCAAGTCAATACATCTCTAAATATACTCTCATCACCTCTGTCAAGCCAATACATCTCTAAATATACTCTCATCACCTCTGCTAAGTCAATACATCTCTAAATATACTCTCGCCACCAGTCTCAAGTCAAGACATCTCTAAATATACTCTCATCACCTCTCTCAAGTCAATACATCTCTAAATATACCCTCGACACCTCTCTCAAGTCAAGACATCTCTAAATATACTCTCGACACCTCTCTCAAGTCAACACATCTGTGAATATACTCTCGACACCTCTCTCAAGTCAATACATCTGTGAAGACATCTCTAAATATACTCTCGACACCTCTCTTGAGTCAATACATCTCTAAATATATTCTCATCACCTCTCTCAAGTCAATACATCTCTAAATATACTCTCATCACCTCTCTCAAGTCAATACATCTCTAAATATACCCTCGACACCTCTCTCAAGTCAAGACATCTCTAAATATACTCTCGACACCTCTCTCAAGTCAACACATCTGTGAATATACTCTCGACACCTCTCTCAAGTCAATACATCTGTGAAGACATCTCTAAATATACTCTCGACACCTCTCTTGAGTCAATACATCTCTAAATATACTCTCATCACCTCTCTCAAGTCAATACATCTCTAAATATACTCTCATCACCTCTGTCAAGCCAATACATCTCTAAATATACTCTCATCACCTCTGCTAAGTCAATACATCTCTAAATATACTCTCGCCACCAGTCTCAAGTCAAGACATCTCTAAATATACTCTCGACACCTCTCTCAAGTCAATACATCTCTAAATATACTCTCGACACCTCTCTCAAGTCAAGACATCTCTAAATATACTCTCGACACCTCTCTCAAGTCAACACCTCTGTGAATATACTCTCGACACCTCTCTCAAGTCAATACATCTGTGAAGACATCTCTAAATATACTCTCGACACCTCTCTTGAGTCAATACATCTCTAAAAATATATTCTCATCACCTCTCTCAAGTCAATACATCTCTAAATATACTCTCATCACCTCTGTCAAGCCAATACATCTCTAAATATACTCTCATCACCTCTGCTAAGTCAATACATCTCTAAATATACTCTCGCCACCAGTCTCAAGTCAAGACATCTCTAAATATACTCTCGACACCTCTCTCAAATCAAGACATCTCTAAATATCCTCTCGACACCTCTCTCAAGTCAAGACATCTCTAAATATACTCTCGACACCTCTCTCAAGTCAACACATCTGTGAATATACTCTCGACACCTCTCTCAAGTCAATACATCTGTGAAGACATCTCTAAATATACTCTCGACACCTCTCTTGAGTCAATACATCTCTAAATATATTCTCATCACCTCTCTCAAGTCAATACATCTCTAAATATACTCTCATCACCTCGCTCAAGTCAATACATCTCTAAATTTACTCTCGACACCTCTCCCAAGTCAATACATCTCTGAATATACTCTCATCACCTCTCTCAAGTCAATACATCTGTGAATATACTTTCGACTCTCTCTCAAGTCAAGACATCTCTAAATATACTTTCGACACCTCTCTTGAGTCAATACATCTCTAAATATATTCTCATCACCTATCTCAAGTCAATACATCTCTAAATATACTCTCATCACCTCTCTCAAGTCAATACATCTCTAAATATACTCTCGACACCTCTCTCAAGTCAATACATCTCTGAATATACTCTCATCACCTCTCTCAAGTCAATACATCTCTAAATATACTCTCGACTCTCTCTCAAATCAAGACATCTCTAAATATACTCTCATCACCTCTCTCAAGTCAATACATCTCTTAATATACTCTCGACACCTCTCTCAAGTCAATACATCTCTAAATATACTCTCGACTCTCTGTCAAGGCAAGAAATCTCTAAATATACTCTCGACACCTCGCTCAAGTCAATACATCTCTAAATATACTCTCGACTCTCTGTCAAGGCAAGAAATCTCTAAATATACTCTCGACACCTCGCTCAAGTCAATACATCTCTAATTATACTCACCCCCAGTTGTTCTCGCCACCTCTATGAGGACACTGTAAGGTTCTCTTTCAAACAGATCGGAAGTGTCGTTGTACAGTGCGGTGCGGATGAGCTTTACCTTGTCCGTTCTACAACGAGAAGGTGCTCACCGTATTTCCTCATCAGTGTGAACATAGCCTTTAACACTTCATTCAATACAAAACAACTGGTCTCGATAATCGAAGCATCAAAGATAATCAAAGATTTTTTCTTGAAGGAAGAGGACAACAGAATATATAACATCGACGGATTGCAACTCTGTAAAGCGCAATTTAAACACTTAGTCGTCCACCAATTAAGACATGAAGTTGTACAATGTAAATACATACTTGGCAGCGGAACATTATATTAAATAAATGAGATGAGGTGAGGTGAAACGCTCCACTCACTATAACACCTATAATGTCGGCTAAATTGGATGAACACAGAGGAATACAGCTTTCCCATATCATCTTTCTGTACAAGTGGAGTTCATATTTCACACGACCGCCTCCGTGGCCTAGTGGGTAGAGCGTATGCCCGGAGATCGGTGGGTGGGTGGTTCGATCCCCTGATCGCATAATAACAAAATACGTTGAAAGATTGCGTTGTATACCCTGCCGGGCCCTCAGTATTTGGGGGATATAAAAAAAGTCGTGTCCCCTCAGAGTCAGTAGCATGTGTCTGTGTGGGGTATCCATGTTAAACTGCGACACGGTATTTGAGTGCCAGCGCGCACTCACACTCACACACAAACACACGTTGTAAATAAGCTGAACGCGACTTTAAACACATTTCTCACCTCATATTGTACACAGAAACCTACAGTGAACTTAATACATCATCGGTTAAAATATTGCTCTTACACATTTAAGACAAGACTGGTTAAGTTGTCGCTATTCGCTGTGCAAACATGCTATCACTTCAACGTCCCAGGATCTTTTGGTCTGGTTCGAATCCAAAATTCAACCCATTGGTAATTCTTGGTTATCAAAACCAAGGTGCTCATAGGTTTCGTCCAAGTGGCAAGCGCCTTCGACCTGCGACACGTATGGCTTGCCTCCCATATCAAGCAAACACTGTGATATGACAGAATGTTGTTCAAATCTACCTTAAAATTACAATCACACACAGATGAGCTTGCTGCTGTGCTGATTCGACGAGACGGTGTAGCGGAGATAAGTCAAGCTTCTGACAAAAGGCCCATGAAAGAGTGAGTGAGTGTATAACGCCGCTTTGAACAGTATCCCAGTCATATCACGGCGTGTCAGCTTAATGTAGGAGGAAAGCCCGAAGTGATGCAGGTCTCAGACTTTTATCGCTTTGGTGAAACCCACGAGCACGTGTATGGTGCTGACAAACCTAGCAAATCGTGGCGAACCGGGATTCGAACCCACAATCATAGGTTTCTGGCGTGCCCATAAAAGATGTTCCATAAATACTGTTTACTTACTTGTAGTAATACACGTATTGTTCTTTCGACGACGTTCTCCCAAGTCTGGCACTGGCACTGTAGGCGAATTTCACATCCGAGTTGCTGCAACGATAATTCAGAATTATATCACTTTACAGCTACATCTGAGGTCGGTATTACCGCAATTCAACCGGTCAGACTTAATTACATATGATGAACGTCTGGACATTGCAGAATGACCAGCAACGACAAATTAATGCTGAACGCAATATGGCATGGCAGTAGTGGTTTAGTGATTTAATTGCTTTCCCTTGAGTCCGTTGAGGTTGGGTTCGAGTCTCAGGTTTAATTAATACCTGGGTCCATCGAGTGTTAATTGTAATTAGACAAAAATATTTGTTTAAGATCGCTCGAAAATTAAGTGTAACATCTCAAAATGTTTTAAGGTTCCAAGGGTATATGCGGCGGTCGGGTAGCCTAGTGGTTAAATCAATCGCTCGTCACGCCGAAGACCCGGGTTCGATTCCCGACATGGGTACAATGTGTGAAGCCCATTTCTGGTGTCCCCCGCCGTGATATTGCTGGAATATTGCTAAAAGCGGCGTAAAACCATACTCACTGGTTAGTAATGATCCAGCAATATCACGGCGGGGGTCACCAGAAATTGGCTTCACACACTCACTCACTCCAAGGGTATATTTAGGACACAGCTTCACTCACCTGTTGAGAAGGGTGAGCAGTTTCTGCATGCTTTTACCGCTTTTGTCACGTACCTCCTGTATCAGGATGACGTCATAGGCCAGCATGATCTGCAATACGTAATATCGTACAATGGCAATGTAGTATATCGAAAACACACTTAGGGGACACAGGTGGCCCAGTCGTCTGAGGCGCCGCAATTCGCTGTGCAGAAGTAGCGTCCATGAGCACGGCAGAAACCTGTCGTTGTTGGTTTCGAATCCCGGTTCACCCAGATTATGTTTCTAGGTTTGGCACCATACCCGTGTTCGTGGGATTCACCAAGGGGGTCTGAGACCTGCATCACTTCGGACTTTCCTCCCACAATCAGATAACACGACGTGATATAAGTGGAATTCTGTTCATAGCCACACCCCACTCGCTCAAAGAGACATTTATGGAAAACAGGTAATAGTTTGTTAATATGTTTGTTTGTATTTAACGCCGCACTCCAGCCATATGACGCCGGTCTGTAAATAATCGCGTCTGGAACAGACAATCCTGTGATTGACATCATGAGCATCGATCCATGCAATTGGAATACGATGACATGCAACAACCAAGTCAGCGAGCCTGACCACCCGATCCCGTTACTCGCCTCTTACGACAAGCATAGTCGCCCGGGATAGGGGTCGTAAAATAGGATTAATCGGCCATATCACCCAGACAGCGCGGGTCGCCACAAATGTTTGTTTGTTGTTTAGCGCAAGCAATATTCCAGCTATATGACCTGTAAATAACCGAGTGTGGACCAGACAAACCAGTGATTGATATGATGAGCCATGTCCCACGCAATCAACCGAAGCAAAGTGTGGATCCAATTCTTCTAGGACTTCTACGGGGGAGTGGCTTATGCTGTCAATCACCTCATTTTCTGACTTGATTGTTTACATGAAGTACATTCGTTGTGTGTAGCCTGAGCATAATCTATTCACATAATATATTTCATTGCAATATATCTCAAAACCATGCGAACGCAACATTTATTATGAAAAATATATTTTTACTATCACCGGGTACTATAAACTGTACGTATTACTGATACTCGATCAATATGCAAGGCAGCGCCCGTACAATATATAGCCCCACCACGAGCCAATAATACAATCATAGTGATTTATACTGCGCGATGTTCCTTGAAATACTGAATACTATTATTAAGTAATTACCTCGTAATCGATAACAATATGTCTATTGGCGACATACATAATCCACGCATTGCCGGCATGTATTGATATGAAATATCCCGGGTTATTCACTTGCATATATCTGCGAATCAACATTTCCAGACACATTGCCGGCATGTATTGATATGAAATATCCCGGGTTATTCACCTGCATATATCTGTGAATCAACATTTCCAGATCTGGAGCAACATGGTATTCATATTTTTCAAATTGTATATTTTCTATGAAATATTTATGAATCAAAATACAATTCTAATGGCAACCTACATGTACGTGTGTAATTTCATTGTCAAAGTTTTTCAAATGTTTGGAATTCAATATTGCAATACCGGATTCATCAAATATTCGTCTTCACAATTTGTCACATATTCACATCGACACAATACAATACAATACAATAAAATACAATACAATTGTTGAATTACAAATAACATCATGATCTTGTGGTTCATTTTGAAAGGATTGTCTGAAATCCAAAGAATTAAGGTGTACATGCTTGTCTGAACTAAATGGAATGAAAATATTCTTAATGTGACAAGTATTCTTTACTCGTTAGTTAAGGCCATCAAGCGGTTTCAGAAGTCGTTTCGTCATTTTCGATTTGCCCCCCTTTGCCGTTCCAGGATACGCTGGTCTCCAATCAATTCGAATTTGTATGTTTTGTTCCATGGGGTGTCAGCATCGAACAACGTTTTGATCAACTCAAATTTTCGTAGAAAGAGCATGCTCGATTGTACCCCAATAATTGTAGACACACACCATGGCTGGAAGGCGCTGCTGGAATAGTGCTCGACATGAAGGGAAAGTTGCCTATAGGAAAGTTCAAGTCACTTAACTCAACTCTCTCACTCTTTCGACATTCCGACAGTCTACCTTTTTTATGTTGTTCATCACCACCGTGTTCCCAGCCTTGGTCAAGCCAAACACCTGGATGTTGAATGCCCCTACCACCAGCTTGTCCGCCCCACCCTCGGGAACAGTGACGGCACAGGGGGAGACGCGGGCAGACAGGGCTAGGAGAAGGCCGCTTAGAAACATCGTCCTTGAGAGAGGTTCCTTGTCAACGTTGTGTCTGTGAATGTTGCACCTGTTGAGCCGAGTGACGCTCTGCCTCCGATTCACCAGCTTATATAGGCAGCTCAACTCCCAGATATGGTTACAACAGTTTATACACGCTGGCATTGAAATTCATATGCACAACAGGATCAAAGCTTTACTGAAACGATATTTGCAAAGTTACCTCTCCGAGAGGAAAGGGTTCACTTTCCTTGTGGAAATATCGCTTGCAGTACACGATCAGAAGGGGGTGGTTGCAGGAACGTCTGGTCCTCGCTAATGGAATCATTATATGAAGCTTCCAATTCGCAAACACCCCCGTATGACGCGGTCGGGGATCGAACCCCGGACCTTCCTGTCCACATACAAGTAAGCCAGGTCACAATTACTAACCACTTACATCAGATATGCATGGGGTTCTCGCAAGCTATCTTCCACGGGATCCCAACGAGGTTGTTGTGAGTATAGATAAATGTAATAATTCGTATTCAAGAAAACGCAAAAACAAATTTAAACTATTAATTCCTCACAAAACATGAAAAAAAAGACAAGAGGGTGAACGGCAGCAAAAAACTTTATATCTTGAAAAAGAAATGTATCGACGAAACGACAAGTTTCTAGTCTGCTGCAGGCGTCCAGCGTCGCCTAGTGATTTATGATCCAGTGGTGGAAGAAAGGAACGCTGCTCATGACGGAGGGTAGCGTCCCCTGGCACGAGCTCTCCCCCCACGAGAATATACCCACTAGGACGCCGTTACACACCATCGGACCCCCGTTGTCGTACTGTGGGGTAGAAAAAGGAAACAAGTTCAACGACATTGTAAAGTCCAAAACATATAATATACCACACGACGCAATACAAGACTCTGATAGTCCAGGCTTCAGCGTGTCAGAGTATAATATTGTGTGTGCTAGGATATTAACACTTGAGTATGATATTGGGTGGAGATTTCAATTGAGTCGGGGGGTACGGACTGTCTGTCAATGATGCAGGGTTGCGGGGCTTTGGCGTGTGTCGAACCCAGGATAACTCGAGGATCCAGTGATCTTTATTATTCTTGGCTTAAAACCTAAGGCAATTCGGGCTTTCCCCTAACATCAACCTGACGCGCCGTGATATAACTGAAATACTGTTCAAAACGGAATCACATCACATCACATCACATCACATCACTCAATCACCCATCACAATGTTAGTATCTTTGAAAGCGGACCAAGTGATTGCATACATTATGTTTGGCTGTTCGGCGTCTTCCAAAAGATGCACAGAGTTGCCTCCCTTGCAACACAACTTGTTGTAAACATATTCTATTAAATGTGCTCTCACTTCAAGTTATGGTTTCAGCCGAGTGTGTTGTCATGTATCATCAGTGTGGGTCGTGGGCAGTATAGAATGACGAATATCCCCAGTGTTAAATGTTTGGGATACAGTTAGAATGGACTGAACATCGCCATTTCGAGCAATCATTCATCTATGAGGGTGGCATCCAATTTACTTGTACCATCTGCATAAACGATAGGACTCAAGAATTCTTAAATCGGATGCCAAGACAAACGAAGGGGTACGCCGGATGCCAAGTCAAAGGAAGAGATGTGCCGGATGCCAAGTCAAACGAAGAGATATGCCGGATGCCAAGTCAAACGAAGAGATATGCCGGATGCCAAGTCAAACGAGGAGGTATGCCGGATGCCAAGTCAAACGAAGAGATATGCTGGATGCCAAGACAAACGAAGAGGTATGCCGGATGCCAAGACAAACGAGGAGGTATGCCGGATGCCAAGACAAACGAAGAGGTATGCCGGATGCCAAGTCAAAGGAAGAGGTGCCGGATGCCAAGACAAACGAAGAGATATGCCGGATGCCAAGACAAACGAGGGGGTATGCCGGATGCCAAGACAAACGAAGAGATATGCCGGATGCCATGACAAACGAAGAGATATGCCGGATGCCAAGACAAACGAAGAGGTGCCGGATGCTAAAAGTTGGGTATTGAGGTGGACCACGTTGATAAACCTGATATCATTATCTGAGAGGGGCGGTGAGTTAACCCGGTGGTTAACACGTTCGCTCGTCACGCCGAAGACCCGGGTTCGATTTCCCAACGTGGGTACAATGTGTGAAGCCAATTTTCCGGTGTCCACCGCCGTGATATTGCTGGAACATTGCTAAAAACGGCGTAAAACCACACTCACTCACTCCACTATCGTAACAGACATAACAGAACAGAATGACCTGACAAAGTTGATATCATTGTGGGTGGCATAGAAAGAGAGGAAAATATTCCTTTTATTATGTATTTTCTTACTGTCCAAGGACAGATGGACTTCGATATCAATATTATTTTTACAGATATAAACAGTATATCTCATCAATAAATACATAATAAATTGATACATACAACCTCGAGTTATCCTGGGTTCGACACAACCAAAACTGATGAATGAAGAACACAAGGTATACACAGGGACCATATCATAGTTCGACACAAGGGTGTTTGACTGTACCATGTAACGGAAAATATATCGAGTTATCCGAAGTTCGAGACAGGCGGAGTGCCGATATTAGATACTGACAATTTAATTTCTGTCAAGTAACCTCATATTAATTAAAATATATTAAATAATATATCGAATTTAAAGAATTTCAATATTTCACTTTAATTTCTATGAAACTCACGTGACACGCGGCTTCCCCTGCGGTGCCGAGCATGCAGACGTGGCTGGGGTAGATTAGGGTGTTTGGGACGGCAGCCCACAGACCAACACAGGCGGCGTTAGAGATGGCGGTGAACGTGGCCTTGGACGGGGTGTCCTTCAACTCCTCCGACCCTGCAACGGCAGCAGCGATTTGTGTTTACTTTCAACATGCTCATGGGTGTGTGTGTGTGTGTGTGTGTGTGTGTGTGTGTGTGTGTGGGATGAGCTACCCCAACTAGACATGGTACAACTCCCCAGCTGAGTTGCCCCAACCAGAGATGGTACAACTCACCAGCTGAGCTACCCCAACTAGGGATGGTACAACTCACCAGATGAGCTACCCCAACCAGAGATGGTACAACTCCCAAGCTGAGCTACCCCAGCCAGAGAGTATACAACTCACCAGCTGAGCTACCCCAACTAGGGATGGTACAACTCACCAGATGAGCTACCAAAACCAGACATGGTACAACTCACCAGCTGAGCTACCCCAACCAGAGATGGTACAACTCACCAGATGAGCTACCCAAACCAGAGATGGTACAACTCACCAGCTGAGCTACCCCAACCAGAGAGTATACAACTCACCAGCTAAGCTACCCCAACCAGAGATGGTACAACTCACCAGCTGAGCTACCCCAACCAGAGATGGTACAACTCCCCAGCTGAGCTACCCCAACCAGAGATGGTACAACTCACCAGATGAGCTACCCCAACCAGACATGGTACAACTCACCAGCTGAGCTACCCCAACTAGAGATGGTACAACTCACCAGATGAGCTACCCCAGCCACATATGGTACAACTCCCCAGCTGAGCTACCCCAACTAGAGATGGTACAACTCCCCAGCTGAGCTACCCCTACCAGAGAGTATACAACTCACCAGCTGAGCTACCCCAACTAGGGATGGTACAACTCACCAGATGAGCTACCCAAACCAGACATGGTACAACTCACCAGCTGAGCTACCCCAACCAGAGATGGTACAACTCACCAGATGAGCTACCCCAACTAGAGATGGTACAACTCCCCAGCTGAGCTACCCCAACCAGAGAGTATACAACTCACCAGCTAAGCTACCCCAACTAGAGAGTATACAACTCCCCAGCTGAGCTACCCCAACCAGAGATGGTACAACTCACCAGCTGAGCTACCCCAACCAGAGATGGTACAACTCACCAGCTGAGCTACCCCAACCAGAGAAGGTACAACTCACCAGCTGAGCTACCCCAACTAGAGATGGTACAACTCACCAGCTGAGCTTCCCCAACTAGAGATGGTACAACTCACCAGCTGAGCTACCCCAACCAGAGATGGTACAACTCACCAGCTGAGCTACCCCAACTAGAGATGGTACAACTCACCAGCTGAGCTACTCCAACCAGAGATGGTACAACTCACCAGCTGAGCTACCCCAACTAGACATGGTACAACTCACCAGCTGAGTTGCCCCAACTAGAGATGGTACAACTCATCAGCTGAGCTACCCCAACCAGTGATGGTACAACTCACCAGCTGAGCTACCCCAACCAGAGATGGTACAACTCCCCAGCTGAGCTACCCAAACCAGAGATGGTACAACTCCCCAGCTGAGCTACCCCTACCAGAGAGTATACAACTCACCAGCTAAGCTACCCCAACTAGTGATGGTACAACTCACCAGCTGTGCTACCCCAACCAGAGATGGTGCAATCGATTCCGGTGAAGTCGGCCCCGTGGTCAGCCAGGGGTATGGTGGAGATAGCGCTGCTGTTGGTGTCGGCGTGTTCTGACAAATGAATGATGGCGATATCGTTTGGAAATCCGACAGCGTTACCGTTGTAGTCGGGATACTAAAACAGAAATAGGAGACATTAACTTTCAATTGGTCTAACACTGTGATCCCGAGTCCAAACGTCAATCCCTTGAATAGCATTATTCCACTTCTCCGGCACCAAAGAAACAGTACTTCAAGATTAGTAAAGAAAGTTATGGCCACCGTATTCTGGGATGCAAAGGGTGTGATCCTTGTTGATTACTTAGAAAGTCAAAAGACGATTACAGGTGCCTACTATACTGATTTGCTTCACCGCCTGACATATTCTATCAAAGAAAAGCGGGACGAATGCTGACTGCTGGAGTTCTACTATTTCATGGCAATGCCTCTTCTCACACCTCTCGACTTGCAAAGGCTGGGAAAATGTGGGTTCGAAGAGCTTCCTCACCCTCCACCCTCGCCAGGCCTAAACTGAAAGAACACCTTCGTGGTAAGCGCTATGATGACAACGATGACCTCAAAGCTGCAGTGAATAAGTTTTTCAGGTTCGATTCAGAAAACATATTTCTTACAGGAATTGAAAAGTTTCGCTATCGATATGAGAAGCGTTTTGAAAAGCAGGGAGATTACGTTGAAAAAAAATCAAAAACACTTTCACAATTGTTGGTTTTGTTTGTTAGTCTTTGAACGTTTTTGACCAGCCCTCGTATCAAAATCCTGTGGCTATCAGTACTCAACATTCTGTAGCCATGAGTACTCAGGTTTTCACGACACCATACCTTAGGAGGTAAACTGCTGCTCAGCGTTCTGTACCTGACGAGGTTAACAGCTGCTCAGCGTTCTGTACCTGACGTGGTTAACAGCTGCTCAGCGTTCTGTACCTGACGAGGTTAACAGTAGCTCGGCGTTCTGTACCTGATGAGGTTAACAGCTGCTCGGCGTTCTGTACCTGATGAGGTTAACTGTAGCTCGGCGTTCTGTACCTGACGAGGTTAACTGCTGCTCGGCGTTCTGTACCTGACGAGGTTAACTGCTGCTCAGCGTTCTGTACCTGACGAGGTTAACTGTAGCTCGGTCTTCTGTACCTGACGGGGTTAACAGTAGCTCGGCGTTCTGTACCTGACGGGGTTAACAGCTGCTCAGCGTTCTGTACCTGACGAGGTTAACTGCTGCTCAGCGTTCTGTACTGTACCTGAAGAGGTTAACTGCTGCTCAGCGTTCTGTACTGTACCTGACGAGGTTAACTGCTGCTCGGCGTTCTGTGCCTGAAGAGGTTAACTGCTGCTCAGCGTTCTGTGCCTGACGAGGTTAACAGCTGCTCGGCGTTCTGTACCTGACGAGGTTAACTGCTGCTCAGCGTTCTGTACCTGACGAGGTTAACTGCTGCTCGGCGTTCTGTACCTGAAGAGGTTAACTGCTGCTCGGCGTTCTGTACCTGACGAGGTTAACTGCTGCTCGGCGTTCTGTACCTGACGAGGTTAACTGCTGCTCAGCGTTCTGTACCTGAAGAGGTTAACTGCTGCTCGGCGTTCTGTACCTGAAGAGGTTAACTGCTGCTCGGCGTTCTGTACCTGACGAGGTTAACTGCTGCTCGGCGTTCTGTACCTGACGAGGTTAACTGCTGCTCGGCGTTCTGTACCTGACGAGGTTAACTGCTGCTCGGCGTTCTGTGCCTGACGAGGTTAACAGCTGCTCGGCGTTCTGTACCTGACGTGGTTAACAGCTGCTCAGCGTTCTGTACCTGACAAGGTTAACTGCTGCTCGGCGTTCTGTACCTGACGAGGTTAACTGCTGCTCGGCGTTCTGTACCTGAAGAGGTTAACTGCTGCTCGGCGTTCTGTACCTGACGAGGTTAACAGCTGCTCGGCGTTCTGTACCTGACGAGGTTAACTGCTGCTCGGCGTTCTGTACCTGAAGAGGTTAACTGCTGCTCGGCGTTCTGTGCCTGACGAGGTTAACAGCTGCTCAGCGTTCTGTACCTGACGAGGTTAACTGCTGCTCGGCGTTCTGTACCTGAAGAGGTTAACTGCTGCTCGGCGTTCTGTACCTGACGAGGTTAACAGCTGCTCGGCGTTCTGTACCTGACGAGGTTAACTGTAGCTCGGCGTTCTGTACCTGACGAGGTTAACTGCTGCTCGGCGTTCTGTACCTGACGAGGTTAACTGCTGCTCGGCGTTCTGTACCTGAAGAGGTTAACTGCTGCTCGGCGTTCTGTACCTGAAGAGGTTAACTGCTGTTCAGCGTTCTGTACCTGACGAAGTTAACTGCTTTTCGGCGTTCTGTACCTGTACCTACTGACAGTTCTCAAGCTATACCCAGTTCATATCCATAGTTGCCGTGCTTATTGACTAAGGCTTTGGACTATTTCGTAGCTGTTACTACTGACTATAGCGTTATATACTCACTATAATGTAATTCAGGACTCGAATAAACTGTTCAGTTCCATCGACCAAACTGAGGCTTTGTTCCCCAAGTACCACACGGTAGTCTGCCGCTCTGAAACCAGTTTGCAAACATCAGACGGTGGCAGTAAACATACTGGTTTAAACGTAGGGCAATGTTACCTGAAGACTCAACCATGCAACCTGACTTTGGAAGCGAGCGTGAACGAAGCCCATTCACCTTGAACGCACCCCTGTACCTCGCTAGTTACATGAGTGACCCTGACCCCAAACTTTCTTCTTTTCCCTTGTCAGTCACACGACCGTATTGTTTAAATAGCTATCATCAAGACCTCACCTCATAATGAGGTATAGTGAGGGCCATTATTGTTCACATGGTTGACAACTAGCTCGTTTTTCCTTCCTACACTTGCATGTTTGACCTCCTGGCAAGATACTTGAGGGCGTCTAAAGTGAGCCGAAAAGTAACTTTTGTCAAGTTCTTAAGAAAAGAAAATATGAGCATGTCCTTAAGCCAAGATGGTTTTTTGACCCAATGGACTGACTGTATTTATCTATATGTTCTAAGAAACCTAGTTTTGGTTAAGAAATAAACGCATCTTGAAAAGTCTGAACTCAGCCTGTACACTTTGTGTTGCTATAAGCATATATTGATATAAATAGACTTTTGTTTGCAAATTTCTTAAATGATGCAGAGGCTTTAGCCCAAGGGGGGGGGGGGGGGGGGGGGGGGGGGGGCTTATCACACATTGTCCTTTTCGTCAGTATTTTACCTATACTTCCGTCAGTATAAACTGGAATCTAAAAATGGTTAGAATTCGGGTCTTTTTACTGCTTACTTGAAAAGTGAGTGAGTGAGTGAGTTGGGTTTAAACAGTATTCCAGTTATGTCACGGATGTTTTTATGTTCATATTCTTTCCACATGTTTTAAATCTTCCAAATGGCAGTGGACCCATTGACCCCTTCATCACACCCTCCCCTTTGTAAACCCTATCCTTTGTAAACCCCACCCTTTATAAACCCTACCCTTTGTAAACCCTCCCCTTTGTAAACTCTCTGTAAACCATATCCTTTGTAAACCCTCTGTAAACCCTATCTTTTGTAAACCCTACCCTTTGTAAACCCTCCCCTTTGTAAACTCTCTGTAAACCATATCCTTTGTAAACCCTCTGTAAACCCTATCCTTTGTAAACCCTCCCCTTTGTAAACCCTTTCCTTTGTAAACCCTACCCTTTGTAAACCCTACCCCTTGTAAACCCTATTCTTTGTAAATCCTATTCTTTGTGTAACCCTACACCTACCTTTGTAAACCCTACCCTCTGTAAACCCTACCCTTTGTAAACCCTCCCCTTTGTAAACCCTACCCTTTGCAAACCCTATTCTTTGTAAACCCTATTCTTTGTAAACCCTCCCCTTTGTAAACCCTCCCCTTTGTAAACCCTATCCTTTGTAAACCCTATCCTTTGTAAACCCTCCCCTTTGTAAACCCTATCCTTTGTAAACCCTACCCTTTGTAAACCCTACCCTTTGTAAACCCTCCCCTTTGTAAACCCTCCCCTTTGTAAACCCTATCCTTTGTAAACCCTACCCTTTGTAAACCCTACCCTTTGTAAACCCTTCCCTTTGTAACCCTACCCTTTGTAAACCCTACCCACCCTACCCTTTGTAAACGCTACCCTTTGAAAACCCTACCCTTGGCAAACCACATCGTTTGTACGTGAACGACCTACATCCCCGAGATGCAGTGAGCTGCGGTGAGGACTCTGGTCTCGCTGATGAGGGAGCCTCCACACAGGTGGTACCAGGCGTTGAGGCTGTGGAGCTGCACGGAGGCGAGGTAGGGCAGCTCACCGGGGGTCAGCGGAGTCCCCCCAGCAATCCGGGAGCCTGGCCGGGCCGACACACAGCCTGAGGTGGGAGGAGAAGCAGGGAATCAACAAACTCGAGCCTAACTCTCTATATTCAGTCCGGACAAACAAGCCTTAAGTCATGGGACCCATTCCACAAAGCGATCTTAGCGGTGTGACTATCGTAGGTTTGAGTTAAAGTATGGGCGTTACGATCACCTTAGCGCTTGGATTGCTTCATACATAGAACTTACACTGATAAAAATGGTTCTGATCCTAGACTTCGGAGAGCCTTTTTGACGTGAGTGGTGAATTCAAAACACTAGGTTTGTTTGTTTGTTTTGTGTGCTGTTTAACGCCGCACTCGGCAATATTCAAGCTATATGACGGCGGTTGGTAAATAATCGGGTCTGGACCCCACAATCCAGTGATTGACATCATGAGTTTCGATCCATGCAATTGAGGTACGATGACATGCATCAACCAAGTCATCGAACCTGACCACTCATTCCCGTTAGTCGCCTCTTACGACAAGCATAGCCGCCTTTTACGGCAAGCATGGGTTGCTGAAGACCTATTCTTCCCCGGATCTTCACGGGTCTCAAAACGCTAGGGAATAATCATGTACTGTAAATACAGAACCGTTACTGGACGAGGCCTCGTCCGAACTTATTTCACGTACTCGCCTATTCCTGCTGTCACAGGGATCTTGAAGGACAAATAATTATGTTGATACTGATAACAAAAACTAAATGTATTCAAGTAACATTTCATTTCTTGCACAATTCAGAAATTCAAATTTACCTCGATCTAAAACAGATTTCCTTCCGTCAGCATCTTACCGTGCTGGTTAGTTTCACTTTTGTAATCGTCTAAAACATTCACGTGTCTTACCTCCCAGGTCCAGCTGACGCCGTGATTATAACTTAAATACTGTTAAAATCGGCGTTACATCCAACGCAATCACTTACAGATAAACAATCTGTTTCCTCTGATATATTGTTAACTTAAAGATGATTATACAATTGTGTGCAATTCTTACGCGAGTACTCACCAATGATCACGAGAAGCGCTAGGTACAGCATGGCGAAACGTTATGGAAAAGCGGTATTGTATATCTCGCAGCTTAGGGCGTGAATTAGCGAGAACTACATGATGGTAGATTACAGTATCCCCTCTCTTGTGCATCTGTCGGGTCTCCCACCATCACTTGCCTCATTCAGACACAGTCCCGTGTCAGCCGAGGTTGTATATGACTCATGTTTCGATATAAAAATAATGCACACTGCAGAAACCCACTGCACTGCATAGCAATATGTTGGGAACTGAATTTCTGGTGTGTTTCTTTTTTATATTACGTATCATAGCGGCTTGACATTAACAAGCAGCTATCATGTTGACAGCGGTTTGCGTTATGGAGAAGTTATTAGTGTGTTAAGATGGGAAGGGGGCAGATGTATAAACTATGTGTGTCAATAACATATCATAACAGCTGAAATGTGTGAGTGAGTGAGTGAAAATAGTTATATGTCACGTTCAGCTATATTGCAGCCAATAATGTTGGCTTTACTCATAATACTTATATGCGGAATCGAACTTTAATATTTGGCTTTTACACCTAGGTTACCCCGCCCACAACCCCCATGCCATGGCAATGACTGATTTGTGTACTGGCGCATTGTCCTGATAGAATTCCACACTTTTTCTCAGCTTCCAACGTCTGTTTTGGTCTCTTACAATAAGCTACTGACAAGACTTACTCAAATTGTATCTTGTTTTTATTCAAACTTCATCTCACTTTGATTTCAAAGTATGTTTGTTTGACTCGTATTATTCTTGAAACTTTATTTGTGAGATCTGTTCTAACCCTTTCACATTAGGGTCCTGGGCACTGATGCCACGAAACTGGGCCATTAGATAGTTCGGTCCCGCTACAGAAAAGATTTTCGAAACTGCAATCTATTAGAAGATTGAGAAACAGTCGATAAACGTGTCAAAACCTTTCACATTAATTATGTCACATTTTGAAACTGCTGAGGATTCATGTCTGACCCGGCGCCCGAACATTTCATATTCTGGGAGAAGGCATCTTTCCGAGGCAAGGGAGGTAACTGACGATAACAGTCCTGTTTTCCACCCTTGCCGAACTAGACCGGAAGTAACTCTTTGATTGGACTAGCGAGACTATGCATAGTCTAATCAAACTCGCGTTACGACCCTCCAGAACAACATGGAGACGTCCACGCAGATTTCGGTCGGTCGCAGGATTTGCAAAGTATGTGTCCCGACAACTGGGCGTCGACATATATTTTCTGTATATTGTCTGTTCATGTTTTAATCAACTTGCTCAAGTGTTGTGCTACAATCCACATGCTGATGGCGGAATCCCGCGACACTGTCGCTAGTGTCAGGTATTTGTATGATAGGGATTTACCACGACCTTCCTTGACGAAACGAAAATGTCTTTTCGTTCCTGCAAAGCATTGCTATTAGCACTGGTTGTCTGTGAGGCAGGAATGTGAAACTTTTCTCCGATTAACCTGGGGTCCCCCCTTCGGGATATTGCTAAAAGTGGCCTAAAACCATTACATCCCAACGCTCACTCACTTCAACACAGGGTGTATTTGATTAGTGTTGAGTTAGTATTTAACCATGGTTCAGTCATGCATAGTATGCTCCAAAATAATTACATTTTTGTGTTTCATGTAGGCCAAAGGCTTGGCTAATTATGATAAATTCTAATCCACGCCTTTATCAACAGCAACAGCTGAAGCAGAGGTACCACGGTTATTATTATTATTGTTATATACAGATTAAAATAAAAAATGCAGCAAAGAGGGTTTGGCTGATCCTGGCACAGTCAGGCTGGTTAGGCTCAGCAGCAGCACAGGGCCCTTGCCCCCTCTACACGCAGCCCAGACAGCGAATGGGACTTCTCCCGGGAAGCCTTCTGCATTACCCAGATTGTCAGAATGGCTGTATTCATGGTAGCAAACCCGGGCACTCTCCCAATGTCAGTCAACAGATTGGGAGGTACCAAACCTGAGGCACAGAGGACAATGGGGAGTCGGGCAACTTGGTACTTGGGATGCAAGCGTGACATTTCGAAAGCGAGGTCCGCATATTTGCCATGTCTTTCCTGAATCTTGTCAATCACATTAGTGGCTAAAGGGACAGAAGATTCAATGATATAAATGATTTCATTGGATTTATCAAAAGGGACAAATTCGGGTTTGTTGGCCTGGATACATCTGAGGCTGTATACGGGCCTATTCCAAAGAATTTTGTATTGATCATTTCCCATGACGCCCTCTACATATTCCGGGTCGTACCATGGATGGACCTCTGTAACAAAACCACAAGCATGGCGAAGACGGTAATAAAATGATCGAGCCACACTATCATGTCGTTTAAGATACTGTGTTTGTGCCAAAGCCGGGCATCCACTGACAATGTGTTGGACAGTCTCATTAAATTCATTACATAATCTACATTTCATATTTACATTTTGATGCAAAATTACACATTGACGGTTTCGAGTGGGAAGTGACTGGTCCTGAGCAGCAAACAGAAAGCATTCTGTTTCACTTTTCAAGCCAGCCGACCTCATCCAAGCGAAGGACTCTGCAGGGTTGCTGATCTTCTCAACACACTGCACATAAACTCGATGCAGTGGTCGTTCAGATAGCCTCTCCTTGAAAAACTGAGTCTGGGCCGATTTGATTTGGCACTTCGCTTGGTTGTCACTCATTTCTGTACCGTCCAGCAATACAGAGCCATCAACAAAATCAACACTGACATTGAGATTATGTCCCACATCTATTATTATGACTCTGTTGTTGTTGTAGTTGTAGTTGTTGCTTCTGCTGTTATTTTGTTAAATGTATGTGTATGGTGATGGTTGACACTAGCAGTTAAAGTAAACTGTAGTATAATAAAAAGATTCAAGTCAAGAACACAACATGAAAGCACCTTACAGAGGGAATATATAATAATATATATTATTTTATTTTATCTTGAATTGAAAGAAGAAAATGCTTTTTGTCGGGAATAGGTAGAACTGTATGTTGTCAGCATAGTCGCTGTAGGCGTCCAGCGACGCCTAGTTAGCCTCGATCCAGGTGCGGAAGTACGGAATACTGGCCATGACGGCAGGTAGCGTCCCCTCGCACGAGCTGTCCCCCCAGGAGATGAGGCCGACGAGGACGCCGTTACACACCATCGGACCCCCGTTGTCGTACTGCACAAGAAGGAGGAACAGGTTACCTGACTGTATTATTGCAAAAACGTGTAACTATCATGTCATTTCGCATGTTCGCCCTTTTGAAGAAAAAGGTTGGACATATTGCGATTTCAAAATATTTAAATGTGAAATTAGGACCCAAAACGAATTGAAACTCACAACTTGTCAATTTGATAATTTAATGTGTGCGGGGTGAGGGGGGTGGGGGCGCCTGGGGTCTCAGACTTTTACTTCACTTTGGTGAAATCCACAAACACGGGTATGGTGCTGAGGAACCTGGAAATATAATCAGGGCGAACCAGGATTCGAACCCGCGACCATATGTTTCTGACCTGACAACTCTTCACGGCCATATTCAAACCCCAGAAGGGGCGGTCGGGTAGCCTAGTGGTTAAAGCGTTCGCTCGTCACGCCAGAGACCCGGGTTCGAATCCCGACATGGGTACAATGTGTGAAGCCAATTTCTGGTGTCCCCCGCCGTGATATTGCTGGAATATTGCTAAAAGCGGCGTAAAACCAAACTCACTCACTCACTCACTCAAACCCTAGAAACCCTACGTCTAAGAGAAACGTTTAAATAAAACTAAGTTTCAACTTCTTTTTATATTCCGACCAATCATATTTAGCGACATGTATACAAAGTAATGAAACTGGTCCGGGGGCACATCTGAGTTAATTGCGATCTCTGCCGACAGGGGTCAGGGAGGACAATAGTTCAATCAAGAGCAGCTCAAGCAGAAATATGTCCTCGCAATTCATGGCTGAATGCCTACATCAACTATATATATATCACAATATTCACGGTTGGAAAGTGCTCTATTCCAGATTGTATTGACACTAATAAATGATAAAGGTTGTATACAGGTTGTAAACACTCTATTTACAAATCCTGTTGGGAAGGCGACAGAAACAAAGTTTCCTCAAAGGTAGCAGGGGCGGTAGGGTAGCCTAGTGGTTAAAGCGTTCGCTAGTCACGCCCGGGTGTGGGATCGAACACGATACATGTTGGTTACCCCACAGCCCGTAATACATCCGTACTATGAAGGGCGGTGTGTGTGTGTGTGTGTGTGTGTGTGGGGGGGGGGGGGGGGGGGGGGGGGGGTTCCAACTATCTTATCTTAGGTCATTATTGTGCGATGATTTAAAGCAGCAGAGTTGGAGCTCTGAGACGGAGGACTCACGTGACACGCGGCTTGCCCCGCGGTGCCGACCATGCAGACGTGGCTGGGGAGAATGATGGTGTTGGAGACGGGGGCCCACAGGCTGGCGCAGGCGGCGTTAGAGATGGCGGGGAACGTGGCTTTTGACGGCGTGTCCTGAAGTGCCACTGACCCTGTAACAACAGCGTGTGTGTGTGTGATATAGCAAGCAATGAGAAGTCATCTGATCAAAGTTTAAACTATTTCAAACAGCCTGTAAGCAAGGACCAGATTACCCAGTCTTGGTGATAAACCGTCAAAGCCAGAGATGGTTCAAGAGAGCAGTAAGCTACACACGGCAAATACGTTACAACTCCCAAGTAAAGCTTCACATACAAGAGAGTGTAGTCTGTCATACATACCCTGATACAAATATATCCAATACAGCCCATGCAAGTATATAATGTTTGGCAAGTCTAGATTACTGCAGTAGCTGAAAATGAAGAGTCTCTGGGCTCTTTTTATAATATTTTTTATTTAGATAATTTAACAACTGTATTATTTACAACCAGTAAAGCTATCCCATCCGGAGAGTATACAACTCACCAGTAAAGCTATTACCTCCGGAGAGAATACAACTCACCAGTAAAACTATTACCTCCGGAGAGAATACAACTCACCAGTAAAGCTTTCCCATCCGGAGAGTATACAACTCACCAGTAAAGCTATCCCATCCGGATAGTATACAACTCACCAGTAAAGCTTTCCCATCCGGAGAGTATACAACTTATAAGTAAAACTATTCCATCCGGAGAGTATACAACTCACCAGCAAAGCTATCCCATCCGGATAGTATACAACTCACCAGTAAAACTATTCCATCCGGTGAGTATACAACTCACCAGTAAAGTTATCCCATCCGGAGAGTATGCAACTCACCAGCAAAGCTATCCCATCCGGAGAGTATACAACTCACCAGTAAAACTATTACCTCCGGAGAGTTTACAACTCACCAGTAAAGCTACCCCAACCAGAGATGGTACAACTCACCAGTAAAACTATCCCATCCGGAGATGGTACAACTCACCAGTAAAACTATCCCATCCGGAGAGTTTACAACTCACCAGTAAAGCTATCCCATCCGGAGAGTATACAACTCACCAGTAAAGCTACCCCAACCAGAGATTGTACAACTCCCCAGCTGAGCTACCCCAGCCAGAGATGGTACAACTCACCAGCTGAGCTATTCCAACTAGAGATGGTACAACTCCCCAGCTGAGCTACCCCAGCCAGAGATTGTACAACTCCCCAGCTGAGCTACCCCAGCCAGAGATGGTACAACTCCCCAGCTGAGCTACCCCAGCCAGAGATGGTACAACTCCCCAGCTGAGCTATTCCAACTAGAGATGGTTCAACTCCCCAGCTGAGCTACCCCAGCAAGAGATGGTACAACTCCCCAGCTGAGCTATTCCAACCAGAGATGGTACAACTCACCAGCTGAGCTACCCCAACCAGAGATGGTACAACTCACCAGCTAAGCTACCCCAGCCAGAGTTGGTACAACTGCCCAGCTGAGCTACCCCAACTAGAGATGGTACAACTCACCAGCTGAGCTACCCCCAACTAGACATGGTACGACTCATCAGCTAAGCTACCCCACCAGAGATGGTACAACTTACCAGCTAAGCTATCCCAACCAGAGATGGTACAACTCCCAAGCTTAGCTACCCCAACTAGAGATGGTACAACTCACCAGTAAAGCTACCCCAACTAGAGATGGTACAACTCACCAGCTGAGCTACCCCAACCAGAGATGGTACAACTCCCCAGCTGAGCTGCCCCAGCCAGAGATGGTACAACTCACTAGCTGAGCTATTCCAACTAGAGATTATACAACTCCCCAGCTGAGCTACCCCAGCCAGAGATGGTACAACTCCCCAGCTGAGCTATTCCAACTAGAGATGGTACAACTCACCAGCTGAGCTATTCCAACTAGAGATGGTACAACTCCCCAGCTGAGCTACCCCAGCCAGAGATTGTACAACTCCCCAGCTGAGCTACCCCAGCCAGAGATGGTACAACTCCCCAGCTGAGCTACCCCAGCCAGAGATGGTACAACTCCCCAGCTGAGCTATTCCAACTAGAGATGGTTCAACTCCCCAGCTGAGCTACCCCAGCAAGAGATGGTACAACTCCCCAGCTGAGCTATTCCAACCAGAGATGGTACAACTCCCCAGCTGAGCTATTCCAACTAGAGATGGTACAACTCACCAGCTGAGCTATTCCAACTAGAGATGGTACAACTCCCCAGCTGAGCTACCCCAGCCAGAGATTGTACAACTCCCCAGCTGAGCTACCCCAGCCAGAGATGGTACAACTCCCCAGCTGAGCTACCCCAGCCAGAGATGGTACAACTCCCCAGCTGAGCTATTCCAACTAGAGATGGTTCAACTCCCCAGCTGAGCTACCCCAGCAAGAGATGGTACAACTCCCCAGCTGAGCTATTCCAACCAGAGATGGTACAACTCACCAGCTGAGCTACCCCAACCAGAGATGGTACAACTCACCAGCTAAGCTACCCCAGCCAGAGTTGGTACAACTGCCCAGCTGAGCTACCCCAACTAGAGATGGTACAACTCACCAGCTGAGCTACCCCCAACTAGACATGGTACGACTCATCAGCTAAGCTACCCCACCAGAGATGGTACAACTTACCAGCTAAGCTATCCCAACCAGAGATGGTACAACTCCCAAGCTTAGCTACCCCAACTAGAGATGGTACAACTCACCAGTAAAGCTACCCCAACCAGAGATGGTACAACTCACCAGCTGAGCTACCCCAACCAGAGATGGTACAACTCCCCAGCTGAGCTGCCCCAGCCAGAGATGGTACAACTCACTAGCTGAGCTATTCCAACTAGAGATTGTACAACTCCCCAGCTGAGCTACCCCAGCCAGAGATGGTACAACTCACCAGCTGAGCTATTCCAACTAGAGATGGTACAACTCCCCAGCTGAGCTACCCCAGCCAGAGATTGTACAACTCCCCAGCTGAGCTACCCCAGCCAGAGATGGTACAACTCCCCAGCTGAGCTACCCCAGCCAGAGATGGTACAACTCCCCAGCTGAGCTATTCCAACCAGAGATGGTACAACTCACCAGCTGAGCTACCCCAACCAGAGATGGTACAACTCACCAGCTAAGCTACCCCAGCCAGAGTTGATACGACTCACCAGCTAAGGTACCCCAACCAGAGATGGTACAACTGCCCAGTTGAGCTGCCCCAGCCAGAGATGGTACGACTCACCAGCTGAGCTGCCCAACCAGAGATGGTACATCTCACCAGTAAAGCTACCCCAACCAGAGATGGTACAACTCACCAGCTGAGCTACCCCACCAGAGATGGTACAACTCACCAGTAAAGCTATCCCATCCGGAGAGTATACAACTCACCAGCTAAGCTACCCCAACCAGAGATGGTACAACTCACCAGCTGAGCTACCCCAACCAGAGATGGTACAACTCCCCAGCTGAGCTACCCCAACCACACATGGTACAACTCACCAGCTGAGCTGCCCCAACCAGAGATGGTACAACTCACCAGCTGAGCTGCCCCAACCAGAGATGGTACAACTCACCAGCTGAGCTACCCCAACCAGACATGGTACAACTCACCAGCTGAGCTACCCCAACCAGAGATGGTACAACTCACCAGCTAAGCTACCCCAACCAGAGATGGTACAATCGACTCCGGTGAAGTCGGCTCCGGCATCAGCGAGGGGTATGATGCCAATTGCGCTGTTGCTGGTATCGGCGTTGTTTGCCAAAGTAACAATGGCGATGTCGTTGGGGAAACCAGCAGCGTTGCCGTTGTAGTCGGGATGCTAAAATAGAAAACGCAACCTCTGTATCGCCGACAAAACATACTGAGAGGGAAGGATATGACAGAAGCTCTTAAATCATACATCAACCGTAATTCAGAACCTTTTTCGAAGTAACATTTGAACCCCGATGAACCGCATAAATACCTTCGCATTATTGAAACATACCCCACACCCGAAGTTAAAGGCAGCCATAAAAAAGCGATACCCAAGGCTGGAGACCTACAATGTCACGTGAATTAAACACGTCATAGTTGAATTCCCCTTCTGCACACGACACCGTTGTTACAACTACCAATCAGGGCGCTACAAATACCACGATGATGTAAGGCTCGTTTTGGAACTAAGCAGCGATCGGAATGATCGGTCGATGACTACCTTTAAGAACAATCACTTACTGTGACAAAGCTCGCAATAGAGGCGTACTCCTCCGTTCCGTCGACTTGACTCAGGCTGTGTTCCCCCAGTACGATTCTGTAGTCTGTTGCCCTATAAACGTATAACGTCAAATGAGAATATTCACTGTCGATGATCTGAAACAAATTCCATTTGGCGAAATACGCAAAAAAAAGAGCGATTGATATATATGAGTTGATCACTTTTTTAAATCACTGATGACGCCAGGTGTTCGCGAAAGTGTAAAGCATGTCCCGCCCTACTGATCGCACCCGCCATACACTCAATGTGCATAAAAAAGTAAGAAAGTGTTCGTTGCCGGACGCCGGACATAAGTAGTCCTGTCATACATCGGGCTGCAAACAGTAGAGTCTTCACCAAACATCATTTCTTAAAGGGGAAGTGTACACGCAAAAGTTACTTTCTTTCTTTTTCTAAACAAAACGCAATTTTAGAATTAGTTAGTATCTGTGTTTGAAAATATACACTCATTTTCACAGTGAAAGTAGGAAGCTCACAATAGTGTGAAAATGATATGCCGTTATGAGGCCTTCGTTTTTCGAGCTAAACAGGCCTGAGTTATACCCCTTAGATTATGACGTAATTGGTGCCAATTCAACTGGGTCCCTGTCTATACTCAACGCAAAAGATATCAAGTACCAGTTTGCGGCCTATTGGAAGAGCGTCCGCCTGGAGAGCGGAAGGTCGTGGGTTCGATCCCTGGCCGAGTCATACCAAAAGACGTTTAAACATAGTACTTATTGTTACCCTATCGGGCGCTAGGCCCATAAGGGGCTAAAACAAGTACAAGGACTGGTTGACTCGGAGTCAGTAGGCTGTGTCTGAGTGGAGTATTCATATTAAACTGCGGCATGGTATCTGAGTGGGCTAGCACTATAAATCGGCATTAGTCCGGACACACGTGCATGCACGTCGCTATATACGTAAGTGCAATAATCTTGGACGCCCCATTTCACCTCACCTCATCTCACCTCAATTCTTAAGCAGAAAATGTGTTTTTATTGTCAAAGAGGAAATCAGCTTGGTGTTGCGTGACAGTCAGTTCTTTGGGGTCGACCATTCGGTATATTTAATTATGCAACACGTCTTAGGGGAAGGGGGCCGAAATATATAATTCCAAATATTACCAAGATTGAAAATTGTTTCTGGGACATACTTGAACAAAATGTGTTGTTTATACATTTGTCCGGCTTCTGTTTCATTGAAAAGAAAATGGGCTTCACACATTATACCCGTGTTGTGAATCGAACCAGGGTCTTCGGTGTGACGAGCGAACGCTTTAACCACTAGGCTTCCCGCCCGCCCTTCTGTCTTGATGCACTGACTGAAAAACGTTTCTATCGCAAACAAACATCAACACACCTTTCCACACCAACTCCGCTCCAACGATGTAAAAACGTACAGGTGAAATTTCAAGATGCTATGTTGAAATTTATTTATTAGTGTCATTACAATTTGGAGGAGAGAGACCTTTCCAAGATATAAATTACATCTAGATGCATACTAAGTTGACATTTCAATATAATGATTTTGAAAAGTTGAAATGTAAAGAATATAACTAAGTCTTGAAATCTTAACGTATGTTTCTTGAAATTTCAACTTAGCATCTTGAAATTTCAACTTACTCTCTTGAAATTTCAAGAAGAAAAGAAAAGAACAAGTGGCCCTAAGAGGCTTCTGTAGTTTCGTTTCTCTGTCAACTTACGCGCCAGAGATGCAGTGAGCTGCGGTGAGGACTCTGGTCTCGCTGATGAGGGTGCCTCCACACAGATGGTACCAGGCGTTGGAGCTGTGGAGCTGCACGGAGGCGAGGTAAGGCAGCTCACCGGGGGTCAGCGGAGTCCCCCCAGCAATCCGGGAGCCTGGCCGGGCCGACACACAGCCTGGAGTGGGAGGAGAAACACTTGATGCACAAAGATGGCGTGAATCAGTTGGGTTGTACGCCGAATCAGAGACCACATAATAGATCTATTATATGGTCTCTGGCCGAATGAAGAATTATTAATGATTTCAGTCATACCATGATGGTTGTTAATGTGAGTGGGATGAATGAATGTATGAAGGAACGAACGAACGAACGAACGAAAGTACATGTAGGTTTTACCTGCAGTCATCTTCCAGATATAAACAGAAACAATGTGGTTGTCCACGACATCGTGGCACGACACCAAACACACAGTCAGGTCATGCGTGCTCGTTAGGCGTCTCTGAGGACAACATGGATATACTGGGGGCCTGATTTCCCAGGTATATGTCGGGTGCAACATGAGAGCAACGGGAAGGCGTATACCGCTTCTGAAAACCCTCGAGGACATGTGTGGTGAAACGAAGGATCACAGTCGGGCGATCTATGCCCTCCGTCACTTTAGGGCGCACAGCGGACAAACGTGACGTCAGCATGAGATACGATGCACGCCATAATGCTACTAATGCCACCATCACACCAAAGTAGTTCTATCCCTTTCTACCCCGTTCTAAACAAAATACTAGAACGGGCTGTAATCACGGTAGAACGCGTAGTTTGGCGTAAAATACGATGCTAGTTCGTTCATAAGCAGTCCTCAATACGTCTATCTCGTTCTTAGCCAGTCTGCAGTCCGTTTGTATCCAGTTCAAATCGTGTAAAAGTGCCCGTTCACCTCAACCCGACAACGTTTCGAAGCAGTTCGAGCACGTCCGTAGCCGTTCTCAACCCGTTCTTAACCAGTTCAACCTCTTTCTACCTCGTTAACAATACGTCCAAGCCAGTTCTAACTAATTCTTAACCCGACCAACTCGTTCGCAGTACGTCCTCATCTCGTCCCAAGTGCGTGTATATTCGCGTCCTGGCCCGTCCTGGCCCGACTCCTATGGATACCGAGCGCGTTGTAGCCAGACTTCATTCAAGTTCAGGGCTCCGAGCTGTACACATCATGCCAAAGAGAAGTCGACCCGGTCGATGTGCACACGTACTGAAATTTATGTCGGACTGCACCACGTCGTAACACGTCCCTAGTAGGGTCGAAGTACGGCAATTCCGTTCGAAGTATTCAATTCCGTTCGCAATACGTCTTTCTCGTTTTAAGTACGTTGTCAATCCGAATAATTGCAGAAAGGGATGGACGGGATAAAATTTGGAGCAGACTCAAAGTTCTAGAGCACCCTCCCCGTCCAAGCCCGTCCATGAAGTTCGTAAAAAGACTGTCAATAGTTGCTACTACGTCCACAACGTTCATACACAGTTGGAGCCCGTTCGACAACATTTTCACGAACGTATTGTGAACTAGTTTGGTGTGATGGGGGTAACATACATTTGGACAGGTCACGGATTTGATGTTCAAATGTATTCCACATATTTACGTATACGTCATGACGTCACCACCAGATCCGCTTCCTGAAGACAAACAAGAGACTCCTGGTGTCTAAAAGTTTTTGGGGGTGGGTTTTGTTGCTCTTTTTGGTTGTTTAACGCCGCACTCAGCAATATTCCAGCTATAAGACGGCGGTCTGTAAATAATCGAGGCCACACCAGAAACTCCACTGACATCATGAGCATCGATCCTTGCAGTTGGGATACAATGACATGCATCAATCAAGTCAGCAAGCCTGACCACCCGATCCCGTTAGTCGCCTCTTACGAAAATGTCCCAAAGTGCAAAATCAAAGACTGCTCTTTGAAAGATGTGTTCGGATACTTGTCAGAACTGACACCTAAACTTCTGATCCCGGTATTCCACGGTAATTCTCGGTATTTCCCGGTACCACCCGGTATATCAGACAACAATGGGACAGCCGATGGGTGTTATTAATAGACATAGTTGACTGCAGCACGCACACATGTGACACAAAAAATGAATGTCATTGTGTACGATGCAATAGAGTCGACAATGGCAGAACGATCTCAGACAACATTATTAGATAGTAAACGATAATGAACGGTAACGGTCTTTGGAATGTTACATAAAACAATCGTCTCAGAAAATGCGTCAACAAAATAGTTATGCTTCAGACCGTTGAAAAAAAAAATGTATGCCACAAGAAATTTTTGCAAGAAATTTGTTATTTTGTTTATATAGGCTCGTAGGTTTAAGGAACAAAAACACCTGGTTTTGCAGCTGTAGCTGAAAATATATTTTGTCTCCGTACAAAACCCCAGGACCACCACACTCACTCACTCACTCACTCACTCACTCACACCCCGATTATGTTTCTAGGTTTGTCAGCACCATACCCGTGCTCGTGGGTTTCACCGAAGTGGTAAACGTCTGAGACCTGCCTCACTTCGGGCTTTCCTCCCACATTAAGCTGACACGCCGTGATATAACTGGAATACTGTTAAAAGCGGCGTTAAACCCAACTCACTCACTCACTCACACACTCACACACAGAGCCAGAGCAGGACTTAGAGACACCGCACCACACACGTGGCCGAAGACTGTAACAGAGCAGGACTTAGAGACACTGCACCACACACATGGCCGAAGACTGTAACAGAGCAGGACTTAGAGACACCGCACCACACAGGTGGCCGGAGACTGTAACAGAGCAGGACTTAGAGACACTGCACCACACACATGGCCGAAGACTGTAACAGAGCAGGACTTAGAGACACTGCACAACACAGGTGGCCGGAGACTGTAACAGAGCAGGACTTAGAGACACCGCACCACACACGTGGCCGAAGTCTGTAACAGAGCAGGACTTAGAGACACTGCACCACACAGGTGGCCGAAGACTGTAACAGAGCAGGACTTAGAGACACCGCACCACACAGGTGGCCGAAGTCTGTAACAGAGCAGGACTTAGAGACACCGCACCACACACGTGGCCGAAGACTGTAACAGAGCAGGACTTAGAGACACCGCACCACACACGTGGCCGAAGTCTGTAACAGAGCAGGACTTAGAGACACCGCACCACACACGTGGCCGAAGACTGTAACAGAGCAGGACTTAGAGACACTGCACCACACACGTGGCCGAAGTCTGTAACAGAGCAGGACTTAGAGACACTGCACCACACAGGTGGCCGAAGTCTGTAACAGAGCATGGGCAAATGTACAACTACAGGAATCACGGTCGGTCAAGGCCGAGAAACACATTGTAACGGTATCTTGTACTCAGTTGTCTCGCACCTTTCACTCGTACCCTTACACATGCTGTCACGTGGAGAACAAGTGTTCAGAGTTGGCAAATCAGATACAAAATCGATGTCTGTTTTCTCATGACTCACCCGCCCCTAAAAACTGCTCGTGCATTTTTATATTTTCATTAAATAATGATTATTCCACCTGAAATTACGTTCTTGTGTTTTGCACACGCTATGCCATTCATAGTGAGTGACATTCGCAAAGGTCACCATGACCTCAAAATCTCATTAATATCAGACCTTAGTGATCGCAACCGTTAAACATGCAAGAACTGATTTTAAGAGATCGCCATCATGCCATCGGCCCGCCTCTTCATACGTCAAGTTGGGTGCGTGGCCCAAATGGGTCACGTGGTTATTGAGAATCAATTTTACTTGTATAGACGAGTAACCTACTAAAATATATTAATTAATTTATTCATAAGGAAAACGCATAGGCACACGTTTCCCGACATAGGTAGCCCTCTCGCAAAGTGTTTACAATGTTAGCGTCGTATGATAATACAATTGAGAAATGTACAAATGTTTTTCATTTATGTAAATATATTAGTGCGGTTGATATACTTATGGACTGAGAGAAACACGTGTACATTTTTGTTGTAGCTGAGATAGAAGATCCCTTTTAACAATACTTACATATCAAAAAGTACATAAGCAGTGATAAACGTTTTCACATGGAGAACTAAAGAGCTATGAAAAACCAATTGTAAATAAGTCAACTGCACGAGTAGCGTAATATTGTAAGCTATATATTGTACTTCCTTAAACCACAGGTAAATAAGAAGGAGCATTTAGTTTGTATTTTGATTTAAAAAGAAATTAGAGTATTGGACTCTCTGATTAATAGGTGCACATCATCCCTTAATTTAAGAGCAGATGAATAAAATGACTATCAAAACAATTGTGTTCTTGTGATGGTGTTGATATATTTCATGCATTTGTTAACTTGTACACAGATATTGTTACAACGGTGTTTGGTTACCAAATGGGAGGAGGTTACATCGGTATTTTATGAAACAAGCGGAGTTTGCGATATATTCCTCTTTATGCAAGTATATTCCAACCAGTTTCAAGATAAAGAGCACCACGGGAGCATATTTCGGTTACCCGGTAACTACACGCGCTGCTCTAACTTGAGATTGTCAAGTTTTTCTTTTAATTTTAATGAGCAACCATCCCACACCTCACAAGCATATTCAAAGCAGAATGTATGAAAATGGTATATTTAAAGTTCACAGACTTTTTATTTAACATACACAGTTTCACATGGAATTAATCATTTTTGCAATAGGCTTTTATGAAAATTGTAATATTTAAGACCACTAATTCTTACCACCCAAAGAGAATGTTATACCAAGTTGTCTTTAGAATCAAATTATAAGCATATGTACGGCATATATACAGCACATGGACAGGACCAAGAAATAGTTCGTTATATCCGTCAGTTCGTTATAAGCGTGTTCGTTATAAACGTTGTTGACTGTATTATAAATACAAGGCCCGAGGACCGAGCCTTCTGGCACTCACAGTGGTAAAAAAATAAGGATTTGGCAAAGCCCATTTTAAAAATACTTTTTGATATCTATGGCCTAAATAACTTCTTGACAGTTTAACACGTTACCTTGTGTACCTGTCCTTTAATTTTGCACAAATCCTCTGTGAAATACACGATCGATAGCCTTTGACACGTCACAAAATATCATACAATAATCCCCACTCTTATCTAAAGCATTACATACATTATGATAGAGTTTTATGAGTTGATGAACAGTGGAATGTCCAGGTTGGAAGTCTGACTGATATTTAAACAATAGCTTCTTATCAAGAAAAAACTAGACATATACTTTAAAACCCCTCTTTCAATATCTTTCCAGCACAACTATTAGCGATACTGGACGACAGTTGGACGATAGTTGGACGAAGCATTCTGTTTCGTGTGAAGCCTCATGACATGTGCCTCTTTCCCTGAACTAGATACAAAATTTATTTATTTATTTATTTATTTATTTATTTATTTATTTATTTATTTATTTATTTATTTATTTATTTATTCATTCATTCATTCATTCATTCATTCATTCATTCATTCATTCATTCATTTATTTATTTGACAAAATAGTTTGCTAATTGAATCAGCGATATATTTTAATAATTTGTGGCTTATGCTGTGTTCCACATGCTTTGTTTACAGGGAGACTCAGATATTTTTGTTTCCACAACACTAATTGTATGAGTAGCTGACCACGTGGTTCAAGGTAACGAAGCCACAATAATTTTGTTTAGGCAGTTTAAATTTCGTTTAATATAGGATACGGCCCAATGTCTGTCAGCACCATACCCGTGTTCGTGGTTTCACTGAGTTGGAAACATGTTTGCATGTACAGCTGGTATCAACACTTCGGTCTTTTCACGCACAAGAAGTCGAGCCTGAGTGGGGCACAGAGTCATACTCTCTTCAGTGGCGGGGGCATGGATGACCCAGTCGTCTAAGGCGAGACCTGCATCACTTCGGGCTTTCCTCCCACATTAAACTGACACGCCGCGATCTATCTGGAATACTGTTAAAAGCGGCGTTAAACCCAACTCACTCACTCTTCAGTAGCGCCAAACCCTAAACCCATTTGCATGTTCTCAAACCTAACTTGACTACTCACCAGTGATCGCTAGAAGCACAAGGTACAGCATGGCGAAAAAAGACAGCAGTATTGTAAATCTCGCAGGTAAGGTCAGTAAATAGCGTGAACTACAAACTGGTAGATTAATATATACCCTCTCTTGTCCATCTGTCGGGTCTCTCACCTTCATCACCTGCTACATACTCGAGGTAGCCACGTGGACGACGGCACGACGTGGGACCAGCATGTCCTCTTGAGGTGTACCCTTCGTCATTTTGTGAGATATAGCTGAAAATGTCCAAACAAATCATGGTGACGTCCATTCTGCGGTGGAGGACAAATTTACGCATTACCGACTAATTTCATTTCAATAGTATAATTCTTTCTCGCGGTAATCACCCTCTGAATATCCAGGTTAGAATTGGTCTTCAGCAATACATGCTAGTTGTAAGTGGCGACTAACGGGATCGAGTGGTCAGACTCGCTGATTTGGTTGAAACATGTCGTCGTATCCCATATGCTATTATCGATGCTCATGATGTCAGTCACTGGACTGTGTGGTCCCGATTAAATTATTTACAGACCGCCGTCAAACAGCTGGAAATGTGCTGAGTGTCGTTAGGCAATAAACAAACAAAGAAAGTGCACTTTTATCGTCCGAGTGAAGTTTACGGATTAACGGGGTGTACTGTAACTGAAATATTGTTTAAAGCGGCGTCAAATCACTCACTCACTCACTTGACATAACACTTTGAACTCACATAACGTCTATCTATGTGACATTGCTTATACTGGTTTCCATGGTGATGAAGTCGAGAGAGGTGACGTGTAGGTTATGAGGCCTCAAGTACAAATGGACGAAATTAAGAAAGAATTGTGAATACGTAGAAACACTTCAAATAATATAATATATGTCAGATTAACTGTATATCATAATTCTTTTGGGGCGGTCGGGTAGCCTAGTGGTTAAAGCGTTCGCTCGTCACGTCGAAGACCCGGGTTCGATTCCCGACATGGGTACAATGTGTGAAGCCAATTTCTGGTGTCCCCCGCCATGATATTGCTGGAATATTGCTAAAAGCGGCGTAAAACAATACTCACTCACTCACCCTCATAATTCTATTGGAACGATACAATGTACGCTTTACTACTACACGGGTAGATGTGTTTACATATTGCAGGCTCGCTTAGATGGAAGATTCCGTTTTTCACTGCCTTGCCCTGATATAGGCTTGTCAAATTTGCCAGGTGAATATATATAACAAAAACATTATTATATACTATACTATTTAGAAATAGAACAAAGGTCTACGGATGTAAAATTATTTTTGTGAATAGACACTGTGCTGACTCTATGAAAGAACTCGTGTACTACTAGTATTCATGTTCTAGGTCGTTAAAGGGGCCTTGAATAGAATGCTTTTGTGCATTGCAACACGTCTGTGAGAGACAACCACGATGTATGTCATCGTGCCCTAAGGCGTAGATCGAAACACTTGAATTGCTGTTCAAAGATCGATTTCTCTGTAACTGTAATATTCACTCACGCTAGACCTGTTGTCGCTGAAGTTGTGTCTGACAGAGATTGACGTTCAGGGTAACCCAGCACTACAATGAGATTTCAATCTGTGACAGCACAGCTACAACGCCTGACAACAGCGCGTTGTTGGCTCAGGTGTATAGTAATGTGTTTGTCTTGTTTTTTGTTTTTACTGGGTTTTTTATCATTTAAGTTTATTGTTTGTTTTAGGGTATCTTATCGTTATTGGACTCATGCTGGGTATACAAGAATTATACAAGTTTGTTTTTGGGGCTTATCTTTGTCATTTCAAATTATTTTTAAAACAATTGTTTAGAGAAATCTATTTTTGTTATGGGGAGCATTTAATATATAAGAATTGCACATAGCTGCGTAGCGACAACGTTCCTTGACAGCGTATTATCAGTTTAGGATTATGTCAAGAGAAACATGAGTGAGGTGGGTCTTACGCCGCTTTGAACAGTATTCCATTTATATCATATCAGCTTAATATGGGAGGAAAGCCAGAAGTGATGCAGATCTTAGACCAAGAGACATTTTAACATTTTTAACGTTATAGGAAGCTGTGAAAACAAATAATGTCCGTCACTTTCGCGCTTGTATTCTACACATCGAACAAAAAGAGATTAATTTGTCGGACGAGGACAAGGTATAAACCTCCACATGGCCGCTCATCGTGTATTTCAGGTGGCACGGGTGGCCCAGTCGTCTAAGGCGCCGCGATTCGCTGTGCAAAGTTGCGTCCCTTGGGCGCGCCAGAAACCTAGGATTGTAGGTTCGAGTCCCGGTTCGCCCCGATTATGTTTCTAGGTTTGTCAGCACCATACCCGTGCTCGTGGGTTTCACCGAAGTGGTAAACGTCTAAGACCTGCATCCCTTCGGGCTTTCCCCTCACATTAAGCTGACACACCGCGATCTAACTGGAAAACTGTTAAAAACGGCGTTAAACCCAGCTAACTCACTCCTCGTGTATTTCATCCAGCACACATGCTGTGGCTGTTGTGGTTTGCATGGAATACTGTGAGGGACATTCTCGCGATCTCGCATTCTCGTGTTTTGGGCATATTTTGTTCGTTTCAAAAGGTCGAGATCGCGAGAATGTCCCTTACGTCATTCCATAGGTATGTGTTACATATTATTACATATTACGTATGTAGTTGTAGGCATTCAAGCCTTAACCATTGAAAAAGTATAAATACCACAGGCATAAAAACCTCGTTAACACCTTCCCGGGCGCCCGTTAAGCATGGCAGCACAATACCCCTGTGAATGTAAGAACTTGTTAAGCTGCTTCGTTCAGACGGGTTTTGTCTGTCTGACAAGGGAATAACGTCAAGGGTGGAGGGTCACGGTGTGTAATCCCAGCTGGTTATGATGCATAAGAGAATTAAACATATCGTGTTGTCAATAACAAATGTAATCGTCGTCAAATCAGACCGAGCTGAGAATAAGGATGAGCGGGGATTCAAAGCCTGAAACATATAATGGTAATTGTATAGGAGAGTATGTCAGTAGGTGTGTATATTACATACATATATATCCATTGTGAATGCGAACGTTGTGGTGTGGTGAGTAGAAATGGGGTTTAACGTCGCGTGCACTTATACAGCGAAGTGTATGGGGTTGCTTGTACTAGTCCTGACGAATGCTGATTTTATAGTGCTAGCCCACTGAGATACCATGCTGCAGTTCAACATGAATACCCCTCTCAGGCACAGTATACTGACTCCGAGAGGACCAGTCCTTGTTTTGTCCCCTTAATGCCGAGATCCAGGCAGGGTAACAACAAGTACCATCTTTACTTAATTTAGGTTATTTATAAATCGGTTGACTAGGTGGGGATCGATTCTAAGAACTTCCGCTCCCCTGGCAGATGCTCTATCGCGGTGACACATAGTGACCGATACTCAGACATGCTTTGTGTATGTATTTAACCATGGCTCCTTTATTTTTGACCGTGTATTACCAATAACTGAATGTTTAGTTGAACACGACTGGGCAATGACGGAACATCGTCTTCCCCTATCTCGGCTATGTTTGCTCATAACAGGACCATCAACGTAGGCAAATAATGAACTTGTAAAGGTTTTGGTTTTGTTGGCCATGGTTTAAGTAGGTAAGAGCTCTCGAAACCTAATCGTTTAAATGTTAGGGCACTATACATAGAGGACTGTTGTTCGCTTAGCATATCATTCTTATGGTGAGGTGTGTCGTTTGATAAAGTGGAAATACCTCCACTTGTATTTGAAACTTTGGTTATTTTTATTGATTGAGTCTATTTCAAGATATTAAAAATTATAAATATTGATTATTTGTCAATAATTATTTTTGGACAGCAAATGTTACTTTAACGTCAATGTAAGACTGATTGGTGCTGGTCATACAATAGTGAGTGAGTGAGTTGGGTTTAACGCCGCTTTAAACAGTATTCCAGTTATATCACGGCGTGTCAGCTTAATCTGGGAGGAAAGCCCGAAGTAATACAGGTCTCAGACGTTTACCACTTCGATGAACCCACGAGCACGGGTATGGTGCTGACAAACCTAGAAACATATTCGGGGCGAACCGGGATTCGAACCCACAATCATAGGTTTCTGGCGTGCCGAAGGGACGCAACTCTGCACAGCTAATCGCGGCGCCTTAGACGACTGGGCCACCCGTGCCCCCGATTATTGGTGGACAAATATGCACTGGACTGGTAGTACAACGTCGAAAACGTCTGGAGTGCATCAAACTCGGATAATTAAACAAAGTTGTGATGCTGAATAGAACCGTGTATTGTAATCCACAGGTGTATCGATGAATCGTTCTCGTGGTATTAAACCAGGCAGTCATTATAGTCTCAGAGTATCAGTGTTTGGATATTTTTTGTCGACGTCGGCCTTTAAATACAGTCTGGACCAGACAATCCAGAGATTGACATTTTGAACAACGATCCACGCCGTCGGGGTACGAGGACAACCAATCCCCCAAGTCACAATGCCTAGCCATCCGATCCACTAAGACGCCCCCGAGGACGAGCATGGCTGGTTTGGGGCTTGTCCGAACCCGAAATCACCCACTGGGGTATGCAGAATTCGTTCTACTTGCACAATACACCTATTTATTGATTTCTTGAGTGCGTAAGTCTGCAACTCGCGTCGCGTTATGCCTGATAACATTAATCTTAACCGCCTAAGTGTTATCAAAATGGCGTAAACACACTGGCTTGAAGAGTGCCTGATCTGATCTTGAATCCCCCGAAGCCACACTGCCTTAACTCATGAACCGAATCCATTTCTGTCTATTCCCTGAAGGTTCTGCTTTAATATCACGACTACACACGAATCAGGTTTATAACCAGCGACTCCGGGATCCGAACCAAGGGCAAGCACAAGCAGGCAACTAAGGGACATCACTCTTTACCTCGAGCTGTTTGATAAGTTGATAATCATGTGATTAGATTGTGACCACATGCTGGAAACCACAGTTAACGGTTCAATACCAGTTAAAAGACGCATACAAATAGATGATAACTTGAGTGGGATTCGACGCTGCCTTATTAGAACTTGTGAAAGTTTAATGACAATAATGTACATTTACAAGAAATATTTTTGTTTGTTGCTCAACACCGATCTCAGCATTATTCCAGCTATATGACGGCGGTCTGTAAAAAATCGAATTTGGACCAGACAATCCAGAGATTGACATCTTGAGCATCGATCCATGCAATTGGGATACGATGACATGCATCAACCAACTCAGCGAGCCTGACCACCCGATCCCGTCACTCGCTTCTTACGACAAGCATAGTCGCCTTTTACGGCAAGCATGGGTTTCAGAAGAAACTACATCCGAAAGTGACGTAGGTGTTTCAAAACAACAAAGAAAAGACAAACTCTAAACACCATAAATGTCTTTTCATCAATAAGGAATTATAACTTTATTTGATTACTATTTTGAAGAGGAACAAAAACTGCAACCGCCCTCTCCTCACCATTGACAGAATGAATCCGTCAAACAAATCATCACCTTGTTATGGCCATGTGCGTGTAAAATTGTTAAACATTACCATTAAAACACTTTGGTTGAGATATACCGACTTCCTGGTGCAGTGTTTGTGTAGTGGTGTTTTAGTGCTATGCGTCGTTAATACTGACAAGGGGGACACGAGTGGCCAAGTCGTCTGAGACGCCGTAATTCGATGTGCGGAGTTGCGTTCCTTGGGCACGCCAGAAACCTAGGATTGTGGGTTCGAATCCCGGTTCGCGTCGATTATGTTTCTAGGTTTGTCAGCACTATACACCCTACTCGTGGGTTTCACCGAAGTGGTAAACGTCTGAGACCTGTATTACTTCGGGCTTTCCTCCCAGATTAAGCTGACACGCCGTGATATAACTGGAATACTGTTAAAAGCGGCGTTAAACACAACTCACTCACTCACTCACTTACATACAGGTGCTGGCCGATAAGCTGTGAACCCAGTTCAGAAATGAATCTAATCGTTGTATCTGTCGTTACATAAACTGCCAGGTACAAAAAGGTATACACTTTAGAGTGTGTGAGTATGGTTTTACGCCGCTTTTAGCAATGATCCAGCAATACCACGGCGGGGGACACCAGAAGGGTGGGCTTCACGCATTGTATCAATGTCGGGAACGCTTTACCCACCAGGCTACCCATGGGCGGATACAGCTTTTTTTAAAAAGGGGTGGGGGGGTGGGGGTGGGGGGGGTGGGGGGGGGGGGGGGTGTGTGTGTGCACAATTAGGATCTATTTATTGTCTTTGGTGGTATGTTATACAGAAATAAAGATTTTTTTCGAAATAAAAAGGGGGGGGGGGGGTCATAATACTGCATGCATTTTCTGTTCGTGGAATGTTGGTAATGTGGGGCACTTGAACAGCACAGTAATGCACATAACAGCCATTATGCTAAGGTTAGACATACTCTGTCTAACAAAAGATCAAAGGCTGTTCCGTTCCACAAAATCGTTGCATTGCTCCTGTCAGAAAGACGTTATGTGGCGTATGCTTCTTTCAGAAATGTGTTATATAGCATAGGCTTCTATGAGAAAGACGTTATGTGGAATATCCTTCTTTAAGAAAGACGTTATGTAGCATATGCGTCTGCCAGAAGGACGTTATGTGTTTCTGTCAAAGAGACGTTATGTGGCGTATATTTCTTTCAGAAATATATGCACGGCATAGGGGATAAACACGCACTCTCCAGTTTGGAGTCAGTATACTGTGTCTGAGTAGGGTATTCATGACGGACTGCGGCCTAGTATTTCAGTGAGCTGGCACTACAAAACCGGCATAAGTCCGGACAAGTACAAACAGCCACACACGCACAGCGTGCATTTGATAGGAGAGTCAACATAGGTCAATTGTTAAGTCATCCTGTTTATTTCTTCATTCTGTGCTGTGTAATTTTATAAACATATCAAAACATGCGCGACCTGTCGTAATATCGACAAGAAATGTTGAAATCTGGTTGCGATAACGCTGACGACAACACGCTCGCGCAGTTCCTTACCTACCGATCAATCCCCGTCAATAGATGTCGCTGCCGTACACCAGTAGCTAGGGGAAAGGTAAACATCGACAAGCGGCTGTACATACAAGATAAATCAGCACAGGATGGTTCCTAATACATATGTATGGAAGGCATGGGCTTCATCTCTATTTTTTCGTCAAATCATTTTATCCAAATCCATTAAATACTTGATATTTTCTTGTATCATTTATTAAAGCTTTACTTGTTCAAGTGGGGGTAAAAGGGGGTTAATTGATATTGGTTACGTACAGTTAATGTCTGACACGTGAGTGTTTATTATGGGAGTAATGGTAGTAATGGTGTGTTTGTTAATTGGTGTCAACTAAAACGTCACGGTGACGAGGTGTCGTGGTAGAGATATGTCATGGCAGAGAGGTGTCACGGTACAGGGGTGTCACGGTACAGAGGTGTCACAGTGCAGAGGTGTCATAGTGCAGAGGTGGCACATTACAGAGGTGTCACAGTACACTGATGTTACAGTACAGAGGTGTCACAGTACAGAGGTGTCACAGTACAGAGGTGACACAGTATAGAGGTGTCACAGAACAGAGGTGTCACAGTACAGAGGTGGCACTGTACAGAGCTGTCACAGTACAGAGGTGTCATAGTGCAGAGGTGTCACAGTATAGAGGTGGCACAGTACTGAGGTGGCACAGTACAGAGGTGTCATAGTGCAGAGGTGTCATATTACAGAGTTGTGACAGTAAAGAGGTGTCACAGTACAGAGGTGTCACAATACAAAGGTGTCACAGTACAGAGGTGTCACAGTACAGAGGTGTCACAATACAAAGGTGTCACAGTACAGAGGTGTCACAGTACAGAAGGTGGTACAGTACAGAAGGTGGTACAGTACAGAGGTGTCACAGTACAGAGGTGTCATAGTACAGAAGGTGTCACAGTACAGAGGTGGCACAGTACAAAGGTGTCACAGTACAGAGGCGTTATAGTACAGAGGTGGCACAGTACAAAGGTGTCACAGTACAGAGGTGTCACAGTACAGAGGTGGCACAATACAAAGGTGTCACAGTACAGAGGTGTCACAGTACAGAGGAGTCACAATACAAAGGTGTCACAGTACAGAGGTGTCACAGTACAGAAGGTGGTACAGTACAGAAGGTGATACAGTACACAGCTGGCACAGTACAGAGGTGGCACAGTACAGAGGTGTCACAGTACAGAGGTGTCACAGTACAGAGGTGTCACAATACAAAGGTGTCACAGTACAGAGGTGTCACAGTACAGAAGGTGTTACAGTACAGAGGTGGCACAGTACAGAGGTGTCACAGTACAGAGGTGGCACAGTACAGAGGCGTCATAGTACAGAGGTGGCATAGTACAGAGGGGTCACTGTACAGAAGTGTCATAGTACAGAGGTGTCATAGTTTAGGGGGGACACTGTACAGAAGTGTCATAGTACAGAGTTGTCATAGTTTAGAGGTGACACTGTACAGAGGTGTCACAGTACAGAGGTGTACAGAAACGATTTTTACTTTTTTCATCTTTTTAATCTCTACTGTCACTCCCTTAGTGAGTTAGTGAGTAGGATTATTCAATTTTTAACGCTATATACCCACAGAGGAAACTCAAATAGAATGTTATATAATCGGCGTTATGTAATGTCAGGTGTTAGTTGTGTATCAAACAAATCTAGCATAATATTTGTACTTATTTCAGAAATCGGTAAGCGGTATCCGACGCGCGAGCCACCTCAGTACTCCACTGTGTTGAACCTTCTCCTCGTTGTACAACAACAGCGCGAGGTATTATCGCTCAGCAGTCGTTCAAGCGAGCACGTTTCCATAACAAAGGGACGACGCGAAAGGGATCATTAGCTATATGGAGCAAGACTTAAATTGAAGCAACGTCTGTGGCGAGTTCGTACTATCGAGGGCTGTCAATGTAACATAGGCTACTATTTACCGCTAGGGGGCAGTGACGCTCACACCAACCGGGTGTACATAGTATTGACAGTAGAGGTAGCTACCCGGTCGGGAGTAACGTCGGGTGGATTCACATGGTGGGGTGAGGCAGGGGTGAACCGACCCCAGGTGACCGCAGATGACAGGTTCTCTGGACAAGTGGATACTGCTTGTCCTTGTAGCACGTTCACAGGTCAGTATAAATTTTAGTTCACAATGTACATGTCAGACGTTAATCGATCTCAATAAAAGCGTTCGTGAATTGATAAGTGATCTACACTAACTGAACGCTGATAGCAGACCTATTAACAGAAGCAGGTGCCGAGTGAACATGGGAGTGAAATAGCTTATGTCATATATGGTCTCTGTATATTATACATATAATATTCTTCGTGTAAGACTGACGCCACACCACTGGCAGACATGGGAGATAATTACGACATCAGATATCTCGCGTTACGCCTGAAGACACAATACAAATACGTGTCTGTGCGTTTAACACGGAGATATCCTATCTTCAAATTACCAACGTGAAGGTCCAACCCCTCGTGCAGGACCTCATTGTGCCTGTAACGGACACTCAGAAATCGACCCCTATGGCTCCTTAGAGCATTGTCCTTCAAACATTCCATTCGTTATGAGACAACTCTCACTTGCACACTTTGTCCGTGATAAAATATTGATTTTGTCAAATCTCCGAACAAACAATACATGCCGGCCAAACGAACTGTGAGAATAGTTCTATTAGTCTTTTTATTTATTCAAATGATCTTGATCGCATTGCCCAAGTATCTAATATCAAAATATGCTGATGTTGCAGCCATAAAATCCTGTGAATATAGATATATAGCACATAAAAGAAGTTAACGAAAGACCGATTTTTTCAAGTGACTACAGTTAATCTGCCATGGCTGTGGGTATTGCAACACATCCTTCCAGAAGTGGGCGTGTCTTGAGCGTGTTTTCTGTAGTATATATTGATTCATTAACGTTGCCAAGTATTTACTGGGAAATAATGTGCAATGCTTTCCAAGAAAGCTGTATTACGAGTACAGACCTGCAAAAGTCGCAAGAAATACAGACAGGTTTTGAACACACGTTGATGAACAGCGGTTGTGAGGGAGATTTTCTTTTATCGCTGACTAGCTTAAGAGTTTAGCGTGAGCTCTATTCGGGTTACGTAAGAATCCTCTGTGTTCTGCGGGTCCTGCTTTTTAAAGCCCCTCGCTGTTTAACCCGCATAACATCACAATCAATATCGTCAATGTTGTCAGCTATTTCAGAGCATATTTATTATCTTTTTTGGAATATTCTGTTTATTGCTGGAACAATGCAGCTAAACGATGACATCGGATTTACACAAAGCTTCGTGTTGATGTGTCGATAATTACACTGCCGTTGTCGATGTTGCGGAGAATTTCGGTGATGTAGTTTTTGTTGATTATGATGACGACGATGAGTGAGTGAGTATGGTTTTACGCCGCTTTTAGCAATATTCCAGCAATATCAGAGCGGGGGACAACAGAAATGGGCTTCACACAATGTACCTATGTACACAATCGAACCCGGGTCTTCGGCGTGACGAGCGAACGCTTAAACCACTAGGCTATCCGACCGCCCCAATGACGACGACGACGACGACGACGATGATGATGATGATGATGATGATGATGGCAAATGCAAGGAATAGCATTTACAATTTAAAAATATTATATTCCTACTCGTATTATCAGAGACCATATAATAGAGTTTCTGGTATTATGTATGAGAAAGGTAGGTAATTGTGTCAACCTGACCAGAGAAGTAGAGGTCACAGCCCCAATAGGCCTTGACTCAGCTGTGATGCATCTACCCGTAGATGAAATCCACCCGTACAACAATCTTCTACAGCCTGGGACAACACCGCCAATTAACCAGAACAACCTGTCTCAAATTCCCCTATTCCCCTATTCTCTCGGGTCAGTGTAATAGGCAGTCAGGTACAAATGAACATTTGGAAACCCTCAATACACCTTTTATGAGAATAACACACACACACACACACACACACACACACACACACACACACACATAGAAACATAATCTGACGTACGACGTTTACATGCTTTCATTCTTTTGGAATACACAAACCTGTTTCTCAGTCGCTACGCGTGTTGTCTCTCTGACATATCTGTGAACGTCGAGGGGTACACAGTCATGTGTTGCTCAATGCGTTTATATAGGTCAGGTTGAATACGTTCAGTGTTATCAGCGTATAACTGTTTAAGCGCCACCGTCGGGGATTTAGCGGTACAATATGTTTACATTATAACATGTTTGTTGTTAAGAACGGCCGCCGTGATATATAAAGGATATTCCTGAATTAAGAACACCATGATACAAATGTATAGCTACAGGCCACTGTAAGATAACTATAATATTGTTGGCTACAGGCCACTGTAAGATAACTATAATATTGTTGACTATAGACCACTGTAAAATAACTAAATTTATAATATTGTTGTCAACAGGCCACTGTAAAATAACTATAATATTGCTGACTACAGACCACTGTAAATTAACTATAATATTGTTGACTACAGGCCACATTAGAATAACTATAATATGGCTGACTACTGGCCACTTTAAAATAGCTATAATATTTCTAACAACAGACAACTGTAAAATAACTATACTATGCTGACTACAGGCCACTGTAAAATAACTATAATATTGCTGACTACAGGCCACTGTAAAATAAGTATTATATTGCTAACCACAGACCACTGTAAAATAACTATAATATTGTTGACTACAGACCACTGTAAAATAAGTTTTATAGTGTTGACTACAGACCACTGTAAAATAATTTTTATATTGTTGACTACAGGCCACTGTAAAATAACTATAATATTGCTACAGACCACTATGATATGATACACGTGGTATCGCTAACGACAGGCCACTATAATATGATACACGTGGTGTCGCGAACTACAGGCCACTATAATATGATACACGTGGTATCGCTAACGACAGGCCACTATGATACACGTGGTATCGCTAACTACAGGCCACTATGATACACGTGGTATCGCTAACTACAGGCCACTATGATACACGTGGTATCGCTAACTACAGGCCACTATGATATGATACACGTGGTATCGCTAACTACAGGCCACTATGATACACGTGGTATCGCTAACTACAGGCAACTATAATATGATACACGTGGTATCGCTAACTACAGGCCACTATGATACACGTGGTATCGCTAACTACAGGCCACTATGATACACGTGGTATCGCTAACTACAGGCCACTATGATATGATACACGTGGTATCGCTAACTACAGGCCACTATGATACACGTGGTATCGCTAACGACAGGCCACTATGATATGATACACGTGGTGTCGCTAACGACAGGCCACTATGATACACGTGGTATCGCTAACGACAGGCCACTATGATACACGTGGTATCGCTAACGACAGGCCACTATGATACACGTGGTATCGCCAACGACAGGCCACTATGATATGATACACGTGGTATCGCTAACTACAGGCCACTATGATACACGTGGTATCGCTAACTACAGGCAACTATAATATGATACACGTGGTATCGCTAACTACAGGCCACTATGATACACGTGGTATCGCTAACTACAGGCCACTATGATATGATACATGTGGTATCGCTAACTACAGGCCACTATGATACACGTGGTATCGCTAACGACAGGCCACTATGATATGATACACGTGGTGTCGCTAACGACAGGCCACTATGATACACGTGGTATCGCTAACGACAGGCCACTATGATACACGTGGTATCGCTAACGACAGGCCACTATGATACGTGTAAGGGCGCTGTTGCCACCACCCTTGGACATTGCAAGTGCTTGTCTATTATAACCAAGTATATTTTAGGCGGACTGAAGTTGCACACTGTAAGATCAAGTTTGTTTATGTTTTACAGTGAAATATTACTCTCACCATCACAACCCACAGGATGGCCGTGCTCTACACAGAGGGGGGTCATCTCAGACACAGGGGGGCAATGTTCAGATTAGGTTCTCGGAAATATGTCAGTATTTCTAAGTATTGCCCGGTGGTATATTTCTCACACTTTGAAGTGTCATATATATGGTTGGCTACTAAATCTAACGCGAGCTGGTTCTGGGAGCTGCTTGCAGTGTGGCCAGCTACAATGTCACGTTACCTCGAACCACTTCCTGTTACCTATCAGAAATTAAGAGCAAAAATTACACAATCGGAGATGTATTTTACCCTCTTCCCGGTGTTCCGAGCGTCAAGACTATCTCGAGTATCTATTTCAACCTTTGTTTGGCACACTATTTCAGATTATTACTTATATGTATCTATTTTTTGGATTTTTGTTCCTGGGGTGTCTCTATTAATGCTATGACAGATATGTGTTTACATGTTGTTATAATAACAGATTGACTGATTAAATTACGTACAGTGAACAATGGGGGCGGTGGGGCAGCCTAGTGGTTAAAGCGTTCGCTCGTCACGCCAAAGACCCGGGTTCGATTCCCCACATGCATGGTGCAATGTGTGAAGCTCATTTCTGGTATCCCCCGCGGTGATATTGCTGGAATATCGCTAAAGGCGGCGTAAAACCATACCCACTCACTCACTACAGTGAATAGTAAATTATAGAACAAAGAAGGAAACAATTTTCAATCACTCACTCACTCACTCACTCACTCACCCATACCGAGGGGAGGTTTAGAGATATACGCGCGACTCTAACCCAGTATTGTACAAATCCCTCAACCTTTGTAGACAGTAATAGTGCGCCACGTATTCAGAAAAAAGCAGAAAAAGGCTTGCTGCTACTTAACATAATAAATGATATATGACCTGTTATGAAGCAAGCGATAACTGAACAAAAAGATTATATGCGGTTATGAACGGTGTAGGTTTAAAGCTTGGTAATATCACCAGCTGTGTACACAACTGACAAATGAAAGGAAAGTCTGGCGAGGTCAAGTCTTTGCCCTGGGTAGGTGACCGATATACAACATAATGTGTTACCCTTGACGCTGATGTACCTCGCTCATAAATATGACCCGAATTGTGAACACAGCCTGTGAACTATCCTTGATTATTGGTGGAGTGAGTGAGTTGGGTTTAACGCCGCTTTGAACAGTGTTCCAGTTATATCGCGGC